CTAGGATGACGGGCACACACCATCTTGCCCACCTGGTAAGTCAGAAGGGACTTTGGGAACTTCCCAGCCCAGGTTGGCCTCAAACCACAAGCCTTCCAATCTCAGCCTCCTAGGTAGCTAGCATTACAGATGTGAGCTACTGGCTGAGGCTCCATTACAGCATTTCTTTGCTGTCAGTACACAGTAATATGTGTTCCTTTTCCCTTTGTCCTCTGTATTTCATAGTATGTGCTAAAATGATTGGGGAAGGCTTTCATTATCCAGGTATTTGCCATTCGTTATTTTAGAATTTTTATGTGAAGGGTTTTATTGCAACGTTTACTCATCAGTTGAATTTCATATTAGAATTGTGTTTGTCATAGATAATACATTGATTTCTTTGCTTGAAGTAGTGTTTTTTCTTCAAGAATCTTAAAGACCTTGAACTTTTGGTTAAAGTAATGCCTCCTCTTTTTCCTGTGAACAGAGTTTTATATATAATACTGCATAGGCAGGTACTGAGAGGTGAAAAGAATGAAAATCATCTTTTCATAGTCTTGGTAAAATCTTTAATTACCCACTTCAACTACTTGCCTAAACTGCCTGTGCAAATTTTTAATTGTCTATTTGTTTGGTTTATAATTAAGCCTTTTGGGACACTACTTTTTACCCTCCAGTACATAAGTACTCACAAAATAATTCTCCCAAAGAATTTCAAAGTACTGTCTAAATTCATCGTGAAATTGCAGCTGTTTTCCACAGGTTTTAAAACATGAATTGGAATAAAAGTATGATTCCCCCACATTTTGGATTATCTCCTTTATTTTAGGCACCAGCTCTAATAATAGCTCTTAAGGTAGATCAGAAAATGTCCATTGCAAGTACTACCTTAAAAAAAAACAACCCTAAACAACTTGTCATGCAAACGAGCACATACTGTATTAAAGTGAAATATTTATTCCTAGTGAAATTACAGAGGTGGCAAATGCTTGCTGAGAGGGCTTGAAAGGCAGAGGAGAGGGCTGGTAATTCCCTCCTTTGTTTTCAGGATGCCAAGCCCAAACAAAAGCTACAAGTAATTGCTAATAAAATCTTTTCTCTACCTCTCCCCTGTAAGACCTACTACCATAACCCTCTCATGATAGCAAAAGCTCCCAATTATTTACTGAATGAATGAAATGTCTTTTCTTCCTCTGAGCCATTTAGACCCAGAAGTGGAAATCAGTAAAATTTTAAGTAACTGATTCATAATGCTCTACTTAATGTAAACTCATCAGTGTAAAAAGAAATCTTAATGTGTTTATGTCTTATATTTTTAACGATTTTAGTTGCCTGGGATTTTTGCTTTGTTTGAGACTGATATATGGTTGTTAGCAATATGTGATTTTGGGGGGTGACATTGATCAAGATGTATTGTACTCATAAATCAACATGCTGCATTGAAACTGAAACCCCTTTGTACAACTACTTAAAGATAATTAGATATCAGATTGAGAAGATGCTTTTTCGTTTGTGGCAAGCTCCATCCGAGTTTTCTCATTAAGTTGCCATTTCTGTGACCTTCAGAACAGATTATTCTCAGTGGATCGCTGACTCTGTTGAACATTGAACCTCTTATACTGCTTTGTGTGTGTGTGTGTGTGTGTGTGTGTGAGAGGGGGGGGGGGAGGGTGAGTTCGAGTACATCTGGTGACATTATCTCCTACTAAAGGGCTCTCTAGCTTGAGAAGTAATAACAGCCTTTCTCACCCTGAAACAATGAGGTATTGGATGATTGCAGCCGGGTACACAAAGGCTTCCCACTCTTTTCAGAGCTGATCATGGTAGCAGCGGCCCCCCCCCCCCCATGAGTCTGACACTCAGTAATATCTACTTCACTCCTTTCTTTGTTAATGGAAGAGCATAAAGGGGATCTTTGTTATACTCTGATTTGTTCCAGCAGGAAGTATCCATTATTTGGCTCAGCTTCTTGGCACCGGGAGCTGTTTCTTCTTCAAGAGCACCTGAATGGTGTGCTTTTCCTTTGTTGTGAAGTCTAAACTTCATCTAAATAATTATTTTTGTCCGCAAATCGAACCTGTAAACCATGGACATACTCTGTGTCTGCAGATTCCCTTTTTAAACTCTGTATCAATCCTTGATTAGATTTCATTTCTATTCCCATTTATTTCTGGAGCCCTTGGGTCCTGGGAATGGAGCTTCTCTAATGACCCTTTTGTGCTTAATGGGTTTGTTGATAATCTCTATGACTAGAGTCTTGTTTATTGTTGGGTGAGGACCGACTGGGAGATTCTGAGGGTATTGAGTGAAGTCATATGCTCTAGTTTTTAAAGCCAGGGACCTAAGTGGAAGAAGTTGAGCATCAAGTTTCTGAAGCCATTGAGCACATCTCATTTACACTGAGCTCTGTCATAAAACACAGGGTGTGGCCAGCAAGCCCTCCCCCTCCCCCTGTCTCCTCCCCCTCTCCACCCTACTTCTTCCTATCTTCCTTCCCTTTCTTCTTCTTCTTCTTTTCACAAATCAACAGTTAAATTTAAAAAAACATATTCTCATATGTGCTCTGTCTAAAAGCCATCAGAAAGGTTTAAGAAGAACTGGCTGTGTGGGTAGTGTCAGTTTTTCTTAGCTAAAAAAGGATCCCAGATAAAAAGGAATCGTGTTTTCTGAGTGAGCTTCTGTAGGAAGGATTCCTGAGGCGATTAACGCCCTGGCTGCTTCCAGCCAGTTCTGTAAAACCCATTCTTTGAAGTCACCGCCTCCCTATTGTTTGGAAAGACAGGGGAGTGAAACTAGTTAGAGCCCCTAGAACGGGATCATTCTTTAGAGTTAAGAACCTCATTCTTTAGAGTTAAGAACCTGGGATTAAATTCTGGGTCTGTGCGCTGTCTGAAGTGTGAGAAAGTTTTCTTAACCTTTCCAGGCCTTAGTATTTCTCATTGGCAAAATGGGGTTGATGGTGCCTATTTCAGATTTTGTTGGATTGAAAATGTTAAATTGGTCAATAACATAGGTGTTAAGGATAGTACTAACAGTAAGTGCATTGAAAAAAAAGATCATTTGAGGGCTGGGAATAAGGCTTAGTGGTTGAGTGCTTGCCTAGCATGCACGAGGCCCTGGGTTCAATTCCTTAGCACCACATAAACACACACCCCCCACACACACACACAGGCACAATAAATCACTTGCAACATTATATTTTGATACTTAACTGTTTTTTCAACTTTTTAGGATCTTAAGAGATAAGATCCACTTCAAACTTTTACACTAAGTGTATTCAGAACCTATAATTAAATGACAGCCTAAATAGAAAATTGTAAATTGCTTGGCCATAAGATAAATCTAGTGAGCTTCAGCACTCTGATGTGAATTGGTGTCTCTTGAGAGCTTTTCCATGTCTACCCCATGATCCTCATGTGACACATGGACTTGTCATCTTGAAGATACACAGAGTGTCATGTCATTGAGATACTTAATGTGACTATTGTTTCAAAGTCACCAAGGTAGAGCCCTCTCTGTACCAATTGAGCCAGAAACCCAGGGACAAAGAGCCCAGGATTCTACCTTTGGGACAATTCTTAGCAATTCTTAGTTAACTAAAAATCAAGAACATTGGCACATTATATTTATTTGGGAGGACATTTTAAAAAGTATTGCTGCTTGGATTTCAGGTTTCTCTTCCTTATTGATTAATTTTGAGGTATGTCTTGCAATAGCAGGTGATTATCTTCTGGTCGTGAGGTGGAGAAAGCATTGTGGTAGAAGACAGTGAACGGAGTGACTGGCAGTTTATTCTATCAAGGGTGTAAGCTGCAGATTTGGTGTTTTCTTTCCTTTTTTGTTGGTTGTGGGGCTTGGTTGCCACCCCTGAGCTTTTGTGCTCAAGGCTAGCACTCTACTGTTTTGAGCCACAGCTCCATTTCTGGTTTTCTGTTGGTTAATTGGGGATAAGTGTCTCATGGACTGTCTTGCCCTGAGCTGCCTTTGTAATATCATCCAAAAAAAAAGCATTTGAGGATACACTGAGGTAGAGACCAATACAGTTTTATTAGTAAAGCAAAGGGAAGGTAGGTAACATACAGTTCAGATGTGGGTAGGAGCATATCTGTTAACAAATGCAACGAGTACTTTAATATCCACAGTTCTCTGTAGTGAAAAATGTCGATTGGGGTTTAGCTCAAAGCCAGTTTAGGGTTAAGTACTTGCCTTTCTTCTGACACCTGGTATGTTTTATATATGATGTTATTTTGGTTGTTACACTGGTCCCCTAGACATCGTGGTTGGCCTGCTAATAAACTGGATGTCTAGATTTTCTTTCAAACAAAGGATGGATTCTGCCACTTTATCTGTGGCATATTGTAACATCTAATATATATTTAAAACACGTTTTGTGCCCCAAAAGAGTCCCAGGTCAGTGTACAATTTGTTTTGTCAGATTTCCTTGCTCAGTCCCCAAGTATTTTAATCAAGTAACCAAGTGAATAAAGTCAGAAGGAACTATCTTTTGATTTTCTTTTTCTTTTCTGTTTTTACTAAATGTTGCAGGCTATGGGAAATGGAAAGCCTAAGCATAAAGTGCTTACATACATTCAGTCAAGCCATCCGTTAATACAATCCTTGTTTCTAAATACCTGGTTGCTGTTTGCTGTGCCTCATTTTCCCTGATCTATCTTCCCTCAACTGCAATTTTAAAAAAATGCTAGCCAGGAGGCAGTGGTGGCTCATGCTTATAACCTTAGCTGCTCAGGAGGCTGAGATCTGAGGATTGTGGTTCAAAGCCAGCCTGAACAGACAAATCCTGGAGACTTTTCTCTCTAATTAACCAGCAAAAAAGCTGGAAGTGGTGGTGTGGCTCAAATGATAGAGCACCAGCCGTGAGAGAAGAAGTCAAGTGAGACTTCAGGATCTGAGTTCATGCCCCTGTAACTGCACCAACAAACAAAGAAACAAACAAAATAGCTTTAAAGCCACTACAATGTACCTTTTCAGAACCTTGTTCGCTTTGTGTTTTTCTTCTGCAGTGACGGAGTATCATGTATGCCACTGGTTCCAGGGGGCATTCCCCAGCTTTCCTACAACCTCAGAACGGAAGCAGTCATCGCTCACCTGGTTATGTCCCCGGGAAAGTGGTCCCCCTGCGCCCCCCGCCCCCTCCAAAGAGCCAGGCTTCCGCCAAATTTACCTCCATTCGACAAGAAGCCCGGGCCAGCTTTGCTTTTTTGCCCGAAGAGCAGCAAACACAGAGGGAGAGCCGAAAGCGCAAGAGACACAAGAATACCTTCATTTGCTTTGCTATAACTAGTTTTTCCTTTTTTGTTGCACTTGCAGTAATTTTAGGAATATCCTCAAAATATGCTCCAGATGGTAAGTGTGTGTGTGTCGTCTGTGTGTGTGTGCACGCATATGCACAGCATGTATTCCAGATGAAGAGGAAAGAGGAAGAGATAGAATAACGTTTAAAAACGTTCAAGAACTCCATTGGAAATTATAAAAGCAAAGTTCTGCACGTTCTTTCTATTCTTCCCATTCTTCCTTGCTGCTCTTGGTGTTATTACTGCATCTCCTTTGGAAATAGCCGTAAAAGTCTTTACTAAATTCTTATGACGGCATAATTTCATTCTTTAAGATAGGTGTGATTTTTGGACCGCCAATGTGTTCCTCATAAATAAAGACAGTCATAAGCTAGATTTGAGTTTTTAAAAATAAGCGGCTTGGATGGGAAGGGGAAACGGGGAGGCAGCAGTGCTTGATAAGAAATGGACTCATTATCTTGCCCATGTAATTGTAACCCCTCTATACGGTATTTTCACAATTTTTAAAAAAAGCAACTAAAAATACCAATATTGGTGTTTTGTGGTAAGTAACAGGCTCAGTGGACAATTCCAAGAGAAGGGCTTTGTGTGACACTGTGTTTCCTTGAAGGAAAACTGCCACTGGATGTGTAAATTCTGGTACATTTGTCTCAAAATCATCCATTACTTCATATTTAAGTACTGTGTAGGAGGTTCCAATGAACTTTGCTTGTCCTGGAAGTGTGTCAGCATGGTAATACATTTACTTTGAATGTGTTTAATGAAATGTATTGCCAGGTAGCTTTAATATAATACCAATAAAAATTGGTTCATAAGAGAATTCCATGTATATGTCTAAAAATCAGAGGCTCAGGCTCATGTTGAGAAGCCAATGAAACCTGTCATCATCTTCTCCTCCTCTTCCTTTTTCTCCCTGTCTTCTTGTCCTTTTGTCCTCAATTCTCCTCCTCTTCCTCTTTTTCCTCTCTTCTCTCTCTCTTTTTTTTCTGATTACTCTTAGTTTTTACAAATCTACCACAGATTCTTTTTAGAATCTTAGAAGTCTTTGTACGTGGATATAATGGGAGAGGGATTTACCATTTCTAATACTTACAGATATTATTTTATCTAGTTACATTGGGTGCTGGAGATAATTCATAAATTTTAAGGTTGGCAGGTATAGCAATACTTCTAAGAGAATAGACCAGAAATAAGAGATGTTCTTATCAAGATCTTTTTTTTGGGGGGTCGGTCATGGGGCTTGAACTCTGGGCTTGGGCACTGTCCCTGCACTTTTCAGCTCAAGGCGAGCACTCTACCACTTGAGCCACAGCACCACTTGCAGTTTTCTGGTGGTTTATTGGAGATAAGAGTCTCATGGACTTTCCTACCTGGGCTGGCTTTGAACCACGATCCTCAGATCTCAGCCTCCTGAGTAGCTAGGATGACAGACGTGAGCCACTGGTACCCAGGTTCAAGATCTTTTTTGATCAAGCCATTCCATTGAATTTTGAATTCCTCATGTTGATTTCCATTGCATGTAGTGTTGATTTCCTCTGTCCTTCTCCAGTGGGATAACGAGGCTCCCTGTTGTTTCCTCATCCCTCCCCAGTACTCTGTAATAAGAGGATGCTAGGTTAGTAGAAATCATAGCTGAAAACTGTGGCTTTCCATTGCATTTTCCCATTTCATCTAAGACATTGAATTTCTGATGTGGTGCCATGAATCAGCATTCTTCAAGTTTACATTATGGCAATATAAATGCAGGCTCAATGGAAAGATGTAGAATACGGAACTATTTCAGAGTCAGCCTTGTTGTGGTTTTTATAGTTCAAATGCGCTTCTTGCTTTATAACTGGGTAGCTGGGGTGGTGGGGCTGGCTAAAGGATTTTTCTGTCTTTCTGCACACCACATATCACTCATTAATTACATCTTTCTGGAAGGAAGCAGACTGAAATTTTTGGCAATCGTTCTAATGAACTCTTCTCCTGGGAAATAGTTCTAAACGATTAAGAGGAATTATGAAACTACTACAGTTGGCTCCAGACCTCAAAATCCAGATTCCCTTCTTTGTCACTGAGCATAATACTTGTGACATGGACATTCATTCTCTTCTTATATAATACCATGGAGATTCCAGATGGATGTTTTATGGGAGTAGAGGGAGGCGCAGACAAACAAAGTTAAAAAACAATCCTTGGTCAGAAAAGTTCAAGATATTTCTTACTTTTTTGATGGAAGAAACTTGGAAGGGTAGTTTTACATTTATTTATTTGTTTGTTTGTTTATTTTTCAGTGTTGATAGTTGAAAATCAGTACTCCTGGTTTGCTAGGCAAGTTTCCTATCACTGAACTACATTGTCAGCCCCAAGGATTTTTTTTTTTTTTTAGTATAATAGAGTGATCATAGATTTATCTGAAGAATTAAATCTTGAAGATGAACCTCCATGAGAAAAAAAATCTATGAAATAATTGCTAAGGACTTAGTAGTGAGACTGATGTGAACTGTCTAGTTCTTATCATGTCTAAATGAACGCATAAGCATGGGCAACATGAGTGTGTAGAACTAGGAAAGTTTTGTTGTTGGGATTCTACAAGATCAAAGTCACGAAAGAGAATTTTCATTTTGTCTATGGAGACATCTTTGTGCTACATCTAGCCTCGATACTTTCTTCATCCTGGTCTCCAACGTGGACTTTCTATCGTAACCAAAGGAATTTCTTCTGCTGGTTCTCAACTACACCAGCTCTTTCCCTATTAAAGCACAGGTGACTTGTTCTTTTAACTTGAGTGACCCAATTAATTTGGATGGAAGGAAATACTTGTGTTTCTTGTATTATTTTATCTTCTTTATGTTTTTCTTATTGAAACATTATCCATTCTTTTGATGTCATCTATTCCATGAACTTGTCTCGTTTACTGTAGCCCCATCCTTTGTCAGAGTTTGTTTGTAATTGCCACATTGTTTAACATTCATGTACCTCATACATAATGTACCAATTGATCTTCAATAAATACTTGGTTATTAATCAAGATTGAAAGTGTGATTTCCCCCCTCCTTCTGCCTAATTCTGGCAGAGACTAAGGATTTCATGCATCTGTCCCTATGATTTAATTATCACCTGTTCAAGAAGCAAATTCTAGTTCTCGTAAATGAACACTGCAAGTAGGAACCTCCTTTCTTAAAGACAGAACTTTTATATCACCCAGCTTGCTAGGTAATCTTGGGTCTGGCTTCTCTAAACTATAATTTCCTCATCTCTGAAAATGAGAAGTCATAACTTGGGCCTCTTTTCTGTAACAGTTTTGTTGGGAAAGTGAACATGAGTGCAAAGTGGTAGGGTTCTTGTCACTTTGCGATTCCTGTGCACAGAAATTTGTGATAGCTAATATATTATTTAGCTATTTCTGTTATATATATATAGAGAGAGAGATTCACATTATCATCTATTGATCTCTCTCTCTCTCTCTCTCTCTCTCTCTCTCTCTTTTCAATTTTGTAGTACTGAGGATTAAACTTAGGGCCTTAGACAATCTTCTACCACTGAGCTCCAAACTCAGCCCTTTCTTTGTTTTTCTAAAATAACTTTCTAGTATGAATCCAAGAGCAAGCCAGGGTTTTGCGTTTTGGTTGTTGGTGTATTTCCAGAGTAAATGGTTCAGGGGAAGGGGAACTCCTTGTGAAGATCTGAACTGTAGTCAAGCATCCGAGTTTTATAGTAACACTTTTAAAAAATGTTAGCTTTGGGGGCTGGGAAGGTGGCTCAGTGGTAGAGCGCTTGCCTTGCATGCCTGAGGCCCTGGGTTCAATTCCTCAGCACCACATAAGCAAAAAGAAAAAAGCCGGAAGTGGTGCTGTGGCTCAAGTGGTAGAGCGCTAGCCTTGAGCTGAAGAGCTGAGGGACAGCACCCAGACCCAGAGTTCAGGCCCCACGACCAGACTCCCCTCCCCCCAAAAAAAATGTTAGCTTTGGGAAGGGGTGAAATGTTACCTTAGTGGCGGGAAGTGGAGATAGATACGTGACCACCTTACTGGAAGACCTATATTCAATGAGGATAATGCTTGGATTTGACTTAGGCTATCCTTACATATGAGTGTTGTGTTGTTTTATAGAGAATTGCCCAGATCAAAATCCCCATCTCAGGAACTGGGATCCTGGACAAGATCCTGCAAAGCAAGTTGTCATCAAGGAGGGAGATAATTTCCGTCTGACCTCAGATGCCACAGTGAATTCTATAGTCATTCAGGATGGAGGTGGGTTATGGTCTCTGCCTATGGGAAGGGCAGAGCTGCTCTGTACGGTGGGGGATTGTGGGGGATTTTGGCTATTCTTCATGTGGAAAACTGTTCATAGGCTGAATGCCTTTTAGGGTGTGTAGTCGAACAATAGAAATGTGTTTAGTTGCCTCATATAACCATAGAATTTAAGCGCTATGAGGGCCTTAGAAACACAGGCAAGGAAGTCGCTTATAGACAAGGAAATAAAGGAGCTGCTGTAAAGCTGAATTTTTGTTACAACATGGATTACCATGACTTTCTGAAGTACTTTTTCCTCAAAAGGATTTACCTCTAAAGTGAGTGGATTCGAATTCATACTCCTGGACATTTCCAGTAGGTTGCTATTTAAACTCTTCATGTCTTCTTCATTCACTTCAGACCCTTAGTAAAAATTTCCCAACTTATTTAATGGAAGTGTATTTTTTTTTTTCCTTCATAAAGTAAACTGTATTTTTCTGCGGTTTAGAATGATGTTTTGCAGATTGGCTTCCATGAGTCCTTTTCTTTGCAGGACTGCTTGTCTTTGGAGATGATAAAGATGGATCCGGAAATATTACTTTGAGGACTCGTTACATCCTGATCCAGGATGGTGGAGCGCTTCATATTGGAGCAGAAAAATGCCGCTATAAATCCCAGGCGACAATTACCTTGTACGGAAAGTCAGATGATGGGGAAAGTATGCCAACGTTTGGCAAAAAGTTCATTGGTGTGGAAGCAGGTGGGTCCCTGGAGTTGCACGGAGCGCGGAAGACCTCGTGGACATTGTTGGCCAGAACTCTACCTGCCTCCGGCCTACCCTTTGGGTCCTACACCTTCGAAAAGGACTTCTCCCGGGGCCTCAACGTGAGGGTCATCGATCAGGATACCGCCAAAATTTTGGAAAGTGTGAAGTTCGATACCCACGAATACCAAAACGAGAGTAGGCGGCTGCAGGAATTCCTAAGGGTTCAAGATCCAGGTCGGATCGTGGCCATCGCTGTGGGAGATTCAGCAGTCAAGAGCCTCTTACAAGGAACTATCCAGATGATCCAGGAGCGGCTGGGAAGTACACTGATTCAAGGACTTGGCTATCGGTAGGCGTGACTTGTCCTTTCTCCTCCCAGTTCTGCGTTTAGTGTTCAGTGTGAGAGGAACCTGGCCATTCCCATGGGTGGGTCTGATTGCCTCTGATAATCAGATATGTTCTGGGAAAGCTCTGGTCCTGGCTTTGGTTAGGAAGCTTTTTGTCAACTATCCTTTCAAGCTTGGGGGAAAAGAACATCCGTGAGCTGAAAATAGTCAGGTGAAGGAAAGTCAATTTGCCTCTGAAGAGACTTGCTCTGTTCCTTACTTCCTAAAGATAATGAAACTCTGGGCTCATTGAACTTGGCCTGCTGGAGGGGAAAGGTTAAGGCAGCATTCTATCTTACAATCCATCTTAAAAGTCTAAAAGGGAGGGAATAGCACCGAGTTCTTTTTTTTCTTTCTTTTGGTATCCTTTTCCAGCAAATCTGAATCCATCTGTTTGATTGGCTCAATTGTGTAGAGGGAAGCAGAAAGTTGGCATGCTTAATTAAATTCATCCAGATAGTAGAATACATTTCTACTCTTTGTGGTTCTTACGTGAACTTACTGAGAAACCACGATTTCCTGAAGGGTGGGGAAGTAGCTTGCTCAACATTTAATAGGAAAAAAAAAAACACCCTATTCCCAAACAGAAGTTTAAATTTTGCTGAATGTTCTTAAATGGGAAATATCTGTGGTGAGTAACCCACATACTGACATACCACTAGTTAGTTTTTCCTTTGATAGCTATCAGAATACTATCTGTAGAAATTCTAGGAGAAAAAAATTAATGAAGGAAAAGAGTCTATAATAAAAATGCCTTTTGCTCACTTTTTATTTAGAAGATGCCAAGTGTTGGACATCTGTTGGTGTTTGGGAAAACAGAGACCTACACAGACGATCATACAATGAGATACTTGGTGAAGCTGAAGGAGTTAATGGAGATAGGACAGAAACCTGAGTTCTGGAGGAACTTCTGGAACTGTGCTATGTAGGCAGCATAGGAGGGCTGTCTAGACTCAGAGCACACCATGAAAAAAACCTAAAGCTTTAAATATGTGTGTGTGTGTGTGTGTGTGTGTGTGTGTGTGTGTAAATATGTGATCTAGAGGATAGTGATTCAAAGTCAGTCCATGTGGAAAGTTCCACAAGAATCCATCTGCAGAATAACTAGTAATACTAGACTGGAAGCGTGGCTCAAGTGGTCGAACAAGTTAAATGAATATGAGGCCCGAATTCAAACTCTACTACTGAAAAAAACGAAAGACAAGATGTTCATTTACCAACTTTATTTTCTAGATCTAAGAATGGAAGCCGGGTCTTTTCAAAGTTAGATGGCTACTGTCTTAGTCTATTTTCTCAAAAGCCAATCTTTAGAGACATGTATATTAGCTTCCTCAAAATGCTCTGAGACAATCCACTTGTAAGGAGTAAAGATTTATTTTGGCTTGTGGCCTCAGCGTTTCCAGTGTCTGATCACTTGGCTTTGTTGGGTTGGGTCTGTGGCGAAGCAGAACATCATGGCAAAGAGTAGGTGGCAGAACAGAGCGGCGCATCTCATGGTGGCCAGGAGAGAGAGAGAGAGAGAGGGAGAAAAAGAGAGAATGTGTCCTTCAAGATCACAGCTTCCATTACCTAATAGGCCCCTCATTCACTTTCAAATACTTTCCAGTCATGCCATGATCTGGGGACCAAACCTTCAGCACATAAAGCTTTTGGGGGACATTTAAGGTCCAAACTCTGTGTCGTAATGCTCAGGTATTACAGCTTCTATTCCTTCATGCCATCATTGTTTGTAGATTCGCATCATCCCTAGCTGTGCCTATATTGATTGGTTACACTCTGTACTAGATCGGTTTTGAAAAAATCTCTTTAAAATAGTGCTGTAGGATCCTACCTACCTATTCAGGAGGCTGAGATCTGGGGATATAAACTTGAAGCCTGTTCAAGCAGGAAAATCTGTGAGACTCTTATCTCCAGTTAACTACTCCAAAGCCAGAAGTGGAAGTGTAGCTCAAGTGCTAGAGTGCTAGTCTTAGGCAGAAAAGCTTAGGGACAGCACCCAGGCTCTGAGTTCCAGTTTGAGGACTGGAGTGTGTTTGTGTGAGCACACATATATACACACACAGACACGCATGTGCAGACACAATAAGTGCTGATGTGATAGAAGAATTCGAATTGTGGTCTTTCACCCATGGTCTAGTACATCAACATCATCTGCAGTGTACAGAAACCCTGACTCCTTTGAAGATAATGTTCCAGTGCATGGGATTTTTTTTCCCTTGTGGAGGAGTGTTGTGGAGATAATGTGACAGAGTGGAGCATTGTTTAGCTGCCTGTGCATTTCTGGTAAATAGAGGAAAGCCTGTGACATTCTTCCTCTCCCTACTTCTCAAATAGGAGATAATAACTCCAGACTTTATTTACTTGACTCTTTCTGCAGTATCATGGAGTATAAATAGACCTCTGAAACTAAAGCATAGTTAATCCACACAAGGGCAGCTGCAGAATTTATGAGGGTGTAGGCATGTGTCGGTTAACTTTTATCTGAATATGCAGCCATCTGTTTGGCATAGATTACATGTGGCATTTCTGAAGAAGGAAGTTCACATTTTTCTTTTCATGTTTTGAACCAGGGAAGCTTAAGGCAAATTTTCTGACTCTTTGTTAATGTCTTCTTTTTCTTTGCCTGATATTGGCCACAAGCTTGAGCAAGTTTCTCCGATAGTTAAGATTACAGAACCAAAATGGCATTTACAAACGCTTAGCTTTCAGTAGATAATGACATGTACAATTGAAAATAGGTTGGAAAGAGTGATTCTGCGGCTTTGAGAATGTTAAGAAACTATTAAAGAATGAGGTTGGGATATTGATGGAGATACTGGGATATTGAATTTGGAGATAGCCTTTGGCAGTAATGCCATTTTCGTGATGTTAATCCTCCCAATCCAGGAACAACAGAATGGTGAGACAAGGACCAATGTAACAGCGATATACAAAGACAATATTTTGGAAATGATCTGTACAACTGGGGGGGGAGGGGAGGGAAATAGGAGAAAAATGAGGGAGGGAGTAAAAAGTGTGGCAAGAAATGTACTTACTACCTTGCTTATGTAACGGTAACCCCTCTGTACATCACCTTGGCAATAAAAAAACACTAAAAAAAAAAAAGAAAATTACCAAGGTCCCACCCCCTGGAAAATGGAAATTGACTTGCCCTTGAATTAGTACTCTTTCAATAAGATTAATTCATTTAGAATAAAACAAAAGAAAGAAATTTACACTAGGTGCTGGTGGCTTCTGCCCGTAATCCTAGCTACTTAAGAGGCTGAGATCTGAGGATCACAGTTCAAAGCCAGCCTGAGCAGGAAAGTCTGTGAGACGTATCTCCAACTAACCACCAAAACACTGGAAGTGGTGTTGTGGATCATGTGGTAGAGCACTCACCTTGAGCTGAAGAGCTAAGGGGATAATGCCCAGGCCGGGAGTTCAAGCCCTACAACTGACAAAAAACAAAACAAAAAAACTACCTTCAAACAGTGTTTCTCAACCTTGTCTGAACACCTAAGTCTTTATTCAAATGTCTAGGAGCAAAGGGTAGGACCCCAGGTGATTGAGATTCAGTGAACGTTGATTATTACTATTTTAAGTTCTAATCTCTAGTTTAGGGGTTCTCAAAGTGTGCTCTTATAGCCACAGCACTTGGGAGCTTGTTAAAATGAAGATTTGCTGGTCTCCTCTGATCCTTCCGGTGCCACCCAGCCATTTGAGCTAACAAATTCTCCCCAAGGTGATTCAGATGCTGACTTAAGTTTCTGAACCACTGTTCGGCCATTGTTCACATTCATTTGTTTTCTGGTTGAACATTCAGATCGTTCAGGGAACTTTCCAAGCCATACCGCTAGGCGGTACCATGTGGAAGGCCCTGGATTCCTTCCATCCCAGCCTGACCCCCCACCTCACCACAAAAAGCCTACCAACTAAAAAGCCCATATTGACAAACATACAACAAAAAGCCAGGTGACATATGTCTGGAATCTCAACACTCTTTGAGTAGAAACGGAATCAGGAGTTGGAGAGTACTCCAGCTTGTCTTGTCTGAAACATCCTAAAACAAATAAGTAAAAAATAAGAATAGGTGAATATTACTTAAAAAGAAAGCCAAGAAGTAGGTGAGTGCAGTGAGTATGTGTTGGAAAAGAAGGTCCGTGAGCTGTTAAGTCGTAATTGTTGGATGTTTTACCTTTAATCAAGGTAGACAGACAGGTTTTAAAAGTTACGTGCATTTGCCTCTGTGACATTGGTGATTTCAGTTGCAACATAATGGCAAAAGAGGCTTAGGGGATCTGCAAAAATAAATTACAAAACTAAACAACAACCTGCAGGGCAGGTGTTAGTCGCTCATGCCTGTGATTCCTAGCTATTCAGGAGGCTGAGATCTCAGGGTTGTTGTTCAGAACTAACCCAGGCAGAAAAGTCCATGAGACTCTTCTCTCTAATTAACCACCAAAAAAAAAAACAGAAGTGGAGGTGTGGCTCAAGTGGTAGAATACCAGTCTTGTGCAAAAAAAGCTAAGTAAGAGTACAAGGTCCTGAGTTCAAGCCCCAGGACCAACACACACACACACAGACACACACACCCCAACACACACACATACAATACCAAATAAGAAAGCCAGAATCCTATTATCATGTCTGTATAAGAGATTTGGGTCTTCACCATGACAAATAATCACATGTCAATGCTCTCTTCCTGTCTAGACAAGCTTGGGCTTTAGTTGGTGTCATTGATGGTGGAAGCACTTCCTGCAATGAATCTGTGAGAAACTATGAAAACCACAGTAGTGGAGGAAAGGCTCTGGCCCAGAGAGAGTTTTACACTCTGGATGGTCAGAAGTTCTCTGTGATGGCTTACAGTGAATGGATTGAAGGTAAGCAAGTCCCATTTATCTTCCTCTAAAACACTGATAGATCTTGTAGCATTTTAAAACCGTAATGTCTTATTCAAATGATAGTCTTGTCTGGTTAGATTTCTTTACCTAGTGAAGTTCAAGCTTGTTTTCATGCTGTATTGAAGTCATTAGACTTAGAAGTTCTCTTTGGACTAGTTAATGACCTCTGCTTGTTTGGACACTCCCGTTTGGACTTTGTTCTTGATTCCTGAGTCATAGAGTATGATTAAGTAGTAAAAATAGATTTATTTCCTGGATTTGATACAAGCAGAACTGATATGAGTGGGTAGTTGAGCAGTCTTTGGTTATTTTGTACTTTAACTGTTTTCTGTATATAGTCCTGCTAGGAAACATTATCTTTGAACATGATGAGCTAGGTACAGGGGACTAGAGGGCTAGTGTAATCCTAACTGCTCAGGAGGCTGAGATCTGAGGATCATGGTTCAAAGCCAGCTTGATCAGGGAACTCTATGAGATTATTATCTCCAATCAACCACTGGGGGGAAAAAAAAACAACAAAAAACTGGAAGTGGAGCTGTGGCTCAAGTGGTAGACTGCTATTTTTGAGCACCAAAGTTCAGGGATAGGGCCACAGCCCTTAATTCAAGTCCTAGGATACATAAAAGCAAGAAACAAAAAACATATGCTATGAAAACAAATCTCTTTAACTTCCTAAACCTCAGTTTCCTCATCTGAAAAAAAATTGAGGTGAGGAATATTATAGAACTCACCATTTAGGCTGCTGTATCAGATGTGAAGAACCGGAAGCTTTTAGTACAGTGTTGTACAGTAAGTACTCGATGCATAGTAGCAATGATGGGAAGACAATGTTATAGTAGAATATTTGCTTAAGAACAGACAGATAAACAGAGTCCCCAGTGTGTGATAGGAATCTTCACTCCTTGCCTCTAAATACCTTGAGTTTGGGTGAGGAAATGGGTTCTGTGATGATGAAGAAGCTGGAACCAAGCCCAGCTTTCTACCTCCAGCTTTCTGCTTCTTCCTACCACAATGCGGTTGTCTCTGGCAAAAAGCGTAGGTGGGTGAGGAGTATTTCCTAGCAGCAGTGTTTCATGGTCCTGCTTCTAGTAAGGTCCCAGGCAGGGACCTTTGTAGGAAATGTCATATTCACTTCCACATTACGATGACTCCTCGTTCCTGGAAGAGGGAATATTCTCACCATCTGTCCTGGGCTATTGTTTGTGTCTGATATTCCCAGTGACTCTTACTTTCTGCAAGGGGTGGAAATTCTCTACAGGAAGCAGGAATATTGCCTGATTTCCTTTTAAACTTCCAACTTTTTGTTTGGTTCTTATTCTTTTTTTAAATGTTTGTTATCGTGAAAATACTGTACAGAGGGGCTACAGTTCCATGAGCAAGGTCATGAGTCCATTTCCTATCAAGCATTGCTGCCTCCTCCTTTGTTGTTTTCCCCCACCTTCCCTCCCACCTCCACAACTATACCCTCCCTCCCCCCCCCACAGTATAACCTCTGTTTTCACTGTATTTGATGTTTGATGTCGGTACCCTGCACCTTGTATATTTACTTCTCTAATGTGAGGAGGGGAAGGGAAAAAACAAAATGTTTAAATAGGGATACAGGTTGACCCATTGTAACAATGAGATGTACAAGACACTGTGCTGAAAACGAACTTTACAATTTAACTTTTTTTTTTTAAAAAAAACAGAAATGAATACTAAGGATCTTGCAACAAATGTTTTCAAGTTGCTTTTGGGGGGCTAATTCTACCTATTTATATCTATTTATAGTGTAACAGTTAAAATTTGGGGTAATTATTGTTGTTACTGTCGGGCATGGTGATGGTTTTTGTTCTTAAACCGCCTATTCATATTATTGGAACATCATCTAATACACAGGTCAACAAATTTGGCTATGGAATTAGATTCACATTTGGTTCTGGGTTCTACCATATTTTAGCTTTGACTTTAAAAGCTGTATTGGAAACTAATGAACCTCCAGTTTCTTTTTTTTTTTTTGTCGGTCGTAGGGCTTGAACTCTGGGTCTGGGTGCTGTTCCTCAGCTCTTCAGCTCAAGGCGAGCGCTCTACTGCTTGAGCCACAGCATCACTTCCGGTTTTCAAGTGGTTTATTGGCTATAAGAGTCTCACAGACTTTCCTGCCTGGGCTGGCTTTGAACCGTGATTCTCAGATCTCAGCCTCCTCAGTAGCTAGGATTACAGGCGTGAGCCACCAGCACCTGGCAACCTCCAGTTTCTTTACCTCTAATGCATATAGTAATTTCTGTCTCACAATTGGTTTGATACAAATGTTATTATGCATATGAAGTCCCCACAGCTATTAGATATTACTACTACAATTGTTAGAGTTATTATTATTCACGTTACTATTTGGCTACAATCTATATATAGGCTTTAATAGCTGAATGTAAGGAACGTATCAAGAAATACTTAGTTGGTATGTGCGGGACAGAGTACACTGTACAAAATACAAAAAAAGAGAAGAGACAGTGTGAAAAGCATAGAATCCAAGACTTGCCAAGTTAGGTTTTTGTGGGCATATTTAACTCAAAGCAATAGAACTGTATTATTCTGAGTTTCTTTGCCTGACTCTCCTTCCTTTTGATTCTCCTAAGTAAATATTTTCTTTTGCCCATATCATTGTTCCTCAGATTCAACATCTTCAACTAGCCCCAGAATAGTATGCTGCCAATTAGGGTGACGAGAGTTTCTATTTATTAAACAGCTATCTCCAAAATAGGAGATATTTCTTCACCGTTGATATTGAACTAGCTGCCCACTATTCCGGGCAACTTCATACACCATATAAATTCTGTGCATTACAGACGTTATAGAAGCACATAAAAGATAGAATTATGGAGGCAGTGGATCTGCTTTTTAGTTCTTGACTTCCTAATTGGGAACCAGTTTAGTATTTCAAAAGAGACATTGAGAGAGCTCAGCTATTAGCCACTGGCTGGGTCATTTATATCATCCTCAGAAAGGAGCTGAGATGTGACCTCAGGTTGCACTGAAGATCAAACTGGTCATACTCATCCCACTGAACAGACATCTGTGCACCTGTACTGTGAAGAAAAATAATGGGAAAAAATAAAGGGAATACACTCTGCTCTCACTAACGGTCCTAACCAGGAGGGAAGGCATGAATGAGAATGTATGAGAAGATGGGAAGGAGAGGTTACTTCCAGGAAGGAAAAGTCTATGAAACTCTTATCTCCAGTTACTCACCAAAATGCCAGAAGTGGAGCTGTGGCTCAAGTGGTAGAGCACTAACTTTGAGCCAGAAACCTCAGGGACAGTGCCCAGGCCCTAAGTTCAAGTCCTGAGACTAGCACCAAAAACAACAAAACAAAACACAAGAAAGGCCCTTCAGTTATAAAAAGGTGGACCCTATCTGGGTTGGTGAATAAGAGTGGAAGAACATTGCAGGTAATAAATAAAGCATCTGTTTTCTCCTTCACCATGCAAGGACCAAGGGAGAAGCAGCCATCTAAGAAAGCAAGCTTTTCGTCAGTCACTGATTTCTGGTACCTTGTGTGGACTTGAAGTCTTCAGAACTCTAATAAGCAAATATAATCATTCAAAAGAAGATAAGATGTTAAGCAAAGGCACAGCAATGAAATAGTATCTGAGGCAAACCTTCATTGCTAGCATTGAGGTTCTCTGTGCACTAATGTGCTCTCTCTTCTGTGCGTGAATGGTTATTACAGATGTGTTCTGTGCCTGGCCACTGCTGGCCAGTTGTGCTATGTTCTTGTTACATATTCAGCCTACCTGGGGGCAGGATTACAGTTTTCAGCCCAATTAAAAATATAGCAAATGACATGGGGATTGGGAGTCTTCAAACTCACCGCAGAATAGTTTACTGAAGTGACAACTTGTATTTTGGCCGGAGGGTGGGGTTCGATTTTACTTTTTTTTGGTATTTATATCTGTAGAATGATGAATGCGTCCGTGGTTAGCAGTTGAAAAACATGTATTGGATTATATTGATCTTAACTGAGTTTTGAATCATAGAAATGAGTGATTTTTTTTTTCTTTTAGGAAGGAAAACAACATAACAACTGCTCATACATCACCTGTTTCTTGTTTAGGTATTTCTCTTTCGGGTTTCCGGGTGGAGATTGTGGATGGAGTGAAGCTTCATCTTCTGGATGACGTCAGCGGCTGGGAACCTGGAGACCAGATTGTGGTTGCGAGCACTGACTATTCCATGTACCAAGCAGAGGAGTTCACTCTTCTCCCCTGTCCTGAGTGTACCCGTTTTCAGGTCAAAGTCAAAGGTAGGGGGCTGCTCAGAGTGCTCCTTAGGAAACATGTTCTTTCCTTGGGGTTTGATTTCTGAGACTTGGTCTGTATTGGGTTTCTGTACTAGGATCTAAACTCAGGACCTTGAGCTTGTTCAGCAAGCATGCCCCTCTGGCCCTTGCTCTTTGCTCTTTAATCGGACATGGTGTCTATTGAAGTTTTCTACCTAGACTGGGCTCAAATTGTGATTCTCCCAGGTCTCCGTTTCTTGAGTAGCTACGATTAAACATGTGAGTCACTGGCACCCAGCAGTGTTTCTTTTTGTTTGTTTGTTTGTTTTTCCTGTCCTAGGGCTTGAACTCAGGGCCTGGGCACTAAGTTGAGCCTCTTCCCCTTGAGCCACAGCTCTACTTCTGGCTTTTTCTGAGTAGTTTTTTTTTTTTTTTTAACTGGAGACAAGAGTCTTATGAACTTTTCTGTCCTGGATGGCTTTGAATCACAATCCTCAGATCTCAGCCTCCTGAGTAGCTAGGATTACAGGTGTGAGCTACCAGTGCCTGGCAGAAGTGTTTCTTAATTTAAAAAAAAAAAAAAAAAGAGGGCTGGGAAGGTGGCTCAGTGGTAGAGCATTTGCCTTGTATGCTCGAGGCCCTGGGTTCGATTCCTTAGCACCACATAAGCAAAAAGAAAAAAGCCGGAATTGGTGCTGTGGCTCAAGTGGTAGAGTGCTAGCCTTGAGCTGAAGAGCTGAGGGACAGCGCCCAGGCCCAGAGTTCAGGCCCACGACTGGACCCAAAAAAAAAAAAAAAAGAAAGTTCTATGCTTTTTAAGTTTCTAAATAAATAAACATTTAAAATGGAACCCAAAGATTTTTTTCATTAGAAACTATTCCTAACTATAATCCTGAGAACAGGGTTTCAGATAGAGATTGTCACTGTAAACTGTATGCAGCAAGAATGGCTGAGCTGGTGTGGCAAAGCCTCTGTGTCTGTCTGTTGCATCACTTGAAGGGTTCACTGAGTAATTCAGTTACAGTGCTTGCCTTGATTATGTACCCAAGGTAATAACAATGACGGTGAAGAACAGAAGTTCATAGCAACTCTTCAAGAAGTACTTAACTACATTTTGTAGTAATCAGAAATCCAGAGCTTTATAGTTTACGGGAAGAATTACTACCAGGCTGAAAAAAAAAACCAGAATGATTAGCTTGGCATTTTCCCCCCTCTATACTTCATTCAGTCTGATACTTCTCCTTCTCTTGGTAATGCTAGGCATAAGCAAAAAAAAAAAGAAACAAAAAAGCATAAAAGGAGAAGCTCCAAAGTTATAAAGATTCCCATCTGGTATTAATATTTTCTGGAAATTCCCACTCTTGTTCATAAGTCTATGTGATGAGTTTCCATGAACTCCACTCCCATGATTTATTTGTGTTTTTCCTTCCTGAGTTTATGTAAGACCATCAGAGAATAGCTCATTATTAGAGGGCTTTTAAGGAAGGTAGAAGTAGCAAAGGGAAGGGAGAGATGTAAAAGAATGCATAATAATACTCTATGAAGGGGCTGGGAAGGTGGCTCAGTGGTAGAGCGCTTGCCTTGCATGCCTGAGGCCCTGGGTTCGATTCCTCAGCACCACATAAGCAAAAAGAAAAAAGCCAGAAGTGGTGCTGTGGCTCAAGTGATAGAGCGCTAGCCTTAAGCTGAAGAGCTGAGGGACAGCACCCAGGCCCAGAGTTCAGGCCCCACGACCGGACCCCCCCAAAAAAAATACTCTATGAAGAGTGAAACCAGAAATTTCAGTGTCTGGTCTGGCCATTCTTCCCAAATGCCAAATAAAGAGATATGGAAAAGGAGAGAGAAAGGAGATTTATTATGGGGCAGCCACAGGAAGATAATACTATATCTTTAGTTCTTTTCTGGGTAGACATTGCCTTAGGTTATATAGAGATAATTGAGGGGGTGAGGGAAGCAGGAGGGATGAGGAAAGTCCACAGAGTTACAACAGACCAAAGTCACAGGCAGGTTCAGAGGGGACCAGCGGGGACCTCTGGGAATCTGAGAGCCCATTGTCTCGAGATTGTCTCCAGGGAGTTCCTAGGGAGGCTCCTAAGAAGTTAGGACTTCACCACTGGTGAGGACCATCACTGTTGCCTGGCAAGTTAATGGTCCTAAGTTTCCGGCTGTTCCCTTTGGGGGTAGTTTTGCCTTTTGCCACAAGATGATAAGTAAGCATTGCCTATCTGAGGGGAAGTTTGTCTTTTGTTATAGGAGGCTTACGGATAAATCCTGTTCTTCACAGAGGTGACCAGGAGTGAAGGGCTCAGATTGAAGGACACAAATGCTTTAGTTTAATTCCTGAACTCAGCAAAATCGGCTTTTTATTGCCTTTCTTTTACTCTTCTTACAGCAAGGATGAAAGAAAGGCAATAATTTCTGTATGGTTAGTTTCTACCTTAAGCATAAACACCATGACATCTGACAACAAAATCTACAAGTCATCTTGTTTCTAAGGCCTTGAATTAGATTCATATATATATGTGTACCTTCAGCAGGTAAGACAGGGACAGGAACTGGCAAAACAGGATAAATTATTAGGTGGATTCCAGATTTATAGAACTGTTCAAGGGAGAATAGAGATACTACTCCAGGGAGGAGCCTGCTCTCTGTCAGTGCCTGGCTTTGAGAATTGGCTGGAGAAGCAACACTGAGGGTTTAGGCCTTGGGTGGGTATTGGGGAAGATAGTATTTAAGGGCCTGGGGTGTGTGATGCTGACGTATTTGAGCAGATAGTAAGGTATCGATGATGTCTCAAGGTGTAACAGAATGACGAAGAACGTCTTCGAGGTATTTCCCGTTTCCTTTGTTCTAATACCCTTTCCTCCTTGCTTCCGTCACCTAGAAACGCCTCAGTTCCTGCACATGGGTGAGATCATCGATGGGGTGGATATGCGAGCTGAGGTTGGAATCCTCACCCGGAACATTCTGATCCAAGGAGAGATGGAGGATTCGTGCTACTCAGACAACCAGTGCCAGTTCTTCGATTATGATACTTTTGGGGGACATATCATGGTAGGCAAGGATTTGATTATTTCTTTGAAATCTTGTTTTACTAAGTACATGCTTGAAGAGATTTTTTTAAAAGAGATTTTTGTTTTAAGTTATGAATGAAGTACACATCGGTATTGAAAAGAAGTATATTAAAAAGAGTAATGATGGCAACTTTTAAAAAATGTAGAAAGGGGGCTGGGAAGGTGGCTCAGTGGTAGAGCGCTTGCCTTGCATGCATGAGGCCCTGGGTTCGATTCCTCAGCACCACATAAGCAAAAAGAAAAAAGCCAGAAGTGGCGCTGTGGCTCTAGTGGTAGAGTGCTAGCCTTGAGCTGAAGAGCTGAGGAACAGCACCCAGGCCCAGAGTTCAGGCCCCATGACCGGACCCAAAAAAAAAAAATGTAGAAAGTTGAACCTTTATTTAGCTCACCTGGTCTTATACTTCATCCATTCAAAAAATTATTCCATAAAGAATTAAATGAAGGCTGGGAATGTGGTAGAGTGCTTGCCTAGCATGCATGAAGCCCCGGGTTGGATTCCTCAGTACCACATGCACAGAAGTCGTGCTGTGGATGAAGTGTTAAAGTGCTATCCTGGGCAAAAGAAGCTCAGGGATAGTGCCCAGGCCCTGAGTTCAAGCCCCAGGACTGGCAAAAAACCAAAAACACAACAAAAATTAAATGAATATATTTGGAAGAATCCAATTTTATAGAGACAAAAACAATGATCTTGGTATCCATACATGGAATTTCAGAAGGGCTCTATTGGTTGTTTTAGGAGCATGCTATCTCTAAAGGGTAAGCAATAGCGGTGTAATATTCAAAGTATGTTCCTGTAAATTTTTATGTGCAAATTTTTATGGTGCTACAACTGTTTGGCACTTGGTGTGTGGTAGGCCATATTCTAATTAGTAAATTAGTGGACTTGTAGTCCACATGTTGGCTACATGTGTTTTAAATTCCTTTGTTCATTGAGTAGCCTCTGGTTATTAGCCACGTTTCTGTTTCACTGGTTCACAAATGTTGGTCAGCATTATTCCCTTTGTTGTTAGCTATACAATGGAGAATGAAATATTTAAAGTTTTTGAGTGCTCAAATTTTGGATCGCTGGGGAAATTTTCAAAGACCTTATATAAACAAAGCTATGTTATAACTAAACATTCGAGGAAGTCCGGTGTCGATGGTTCAATGTCTGTAATCCTAGCTACTAGAGAGGCTGAAATCTAAGCATTGCTGTTCAGAGCTGGCCTCAACAGAAAAGTCTGTGTGACTGTTCCCAATTAAACACCAAAAATCCAGACATGGAAGTGTGACTCAACTGGTAGAGTGCCAGCCTTGAGCAAAAAAGCTAAAGGACAACACCCAGGCTCTGAGTTCAAGTCAGTATCCACACAAACAAAAGTAAACAGACAAAAAATACGCTGGGGGAAGCTTTCACAATCAGCAACTATCAAACGATGGTGATGGTGACAGAAATGAAAGAACAAGATGACACTGAGACTGGGTTGACCAAAATACATATAACCCAAGATTTGACTCAATACTGACTTGTTTTCAGCGGTACATAGTGCTGTACATTGCGCAGACACCTTACTTTAAAGTTTGGATTCTGATCTTTTCCCTGGCTGCTAATAAACCATCTGACCCTCTAGAGATACTGCGTAGTCGCTGCAAGCTGCATCTCTTCAGCCACTCTATTACAAGCAGATACTACAGTGCTGTTCAGTCTGAATGTTCAATGGACTAGATATATTAAATGTAAATGCTTTCTTTTGCCCTCTGTCGTGGGGCTTGAACTTGGGGCCTGGGCACAGTCCCTGTGTTCTTTTTTGCTCAAGGCTAGTGTTCGACCACTTTGAGCCACAGCACCATTTCCTGTGTTCTGGTGGCTAACCTGGGCTGGGTTTTGAACCATGATCCTCAGATCTCAGTCTCCTGAGTAGTTAAGATTACAGGGTGAGCCACCAACGCTCAGCAATATTTTTAATTTAACAATGTTTTACTAGACTATAACTCCATGTCAGTCATTGAGGAACATCTGTTTTGAACAAATCAAAACACATATTCAGAAACCATTTTTGCAGCTTTCCTGGTTACATTTGCCTTTGCTCCTAGTTATAAACTTTTAGCTGGGCACTGATTACAATGCTTCTAATCCTAGCTACTCAGGAGGCTGAGATCTGAGTATTATGGTTCAAAGCCAGTCTGGGCAGGAAAGTCCATGAGACTCTTTATCTCTAATTAGCCACCAGAAAACCAGAAGTGGTGCTGTGGCTCAAAGTGGTAGAGCGCTAGCCTTGAGCAAAAAAAGCAGAGGGACAGTGCCCAGGCCCCAGGTTCAATCCTCAAGACCAGCACCAAAAAAACAAAAAAGTAAACCAAAAAAAAAAAAAATCAACAAAAACCTGTTGTATGTCTTTTAAAAGCATTTGCCCATGTAAATTATTATCTCTAAGCTATTAATTAACTAGGGATCTGGGCAAACTATGTGCATAAGAAATGTCTTGCTGAATGTGGTGGTACATGCTTATAATCCTAACACTCAGGAGGCTGAGGTAGGAGGATTACAAGTTGAAGTCTTGCCTAGATTATACAGCAAGACCTGTCTCAAGAAAGAGGGGCGGGGGAGGAGGGATGTGTGTTTTCTATCAGAGATTTTGTGTTCGAACAGTGTGTGTGTGTGTGTGTGTGTGTGTGTGTGTGTGTGTGTGTGTGTGTGTGTGTGTGTGTGTGTGTGTGTGGCTATTTTCCTACTCTGACACTAGTACCTTGCCTTGTAGATAAAGAAAAATTTTACTTCTGTCCATCTTTCCTACGTGGAATTGAAACACATGGGTCAGCAGCAACTGGGCAAATATCCTGTTCATTTTCACCTGTGTGGAGATGTGGATTACAGAGGCGGGTACACACCCCCCACATCTGTGGATGGCTTGTCTATTCATCACGGCTTCTCACGGTGCATCACCGTGCATGGGACCAATGGCTTGCTGGTGAGTAGCCTCACTCCTGCAGACACGGGTTATTTGTCACTGATAACTTATGTGCCTTCATTCTCATGACTTCTCAGTGTTGACATAAGCAAACAACTGTACCCCTTGGCCACTCTTAACTTCTTTCTGGGATGTTTGAAGGAAGCCATCCAAATTAATCTCTTAAGCAAGAAATGGAATCTGATGTATGTTTGGGGCAATGATGATGATGATTTGTATTTACACTGAACCTGCTATACAGTAGCTATTGTCACTTAAAGCCCAGTTTGGAAGTGACATCACCCATTTGTGTATCTGCAGATAAGAGACACCATTGGATTTGACACCCTAGGTCACTGTTTCTTCTTGGAAGATGGTCTTGAGCAGAGAAATACTTTGTTCCACAATCTGGGCCTCCTTACCAAGCCCGGGACTCTCCTTCCCACTGACCGGAACAACTCCATGTGCACCACTATCCGAGATAAAGTGTTTGGGAACTACATTCCTGTACCTGCTACAGACTGTATGTGAGTAATTAGCTGAGAGAGAGAAAAACTCAGGTGGAATGGGGAAGAAATGTTTAGTAGGCAGAAATGTTTAGTAGGAGAAATGTTTAGTAGGCAGGATCTTTCATGAAGACTATTTAAATTACCTTGCAGGGCTGTTTCAACTTTCTGGATTGCTCATCCCAACAACAATCTGATTAATAATGCAGCAGCAGGCTCCCAGGTAAATCATACTCAAGTGTGTTCCCATTTCTTTGCTGTCATGTATATGAATGCTCTGGTGTAGATGGCTGTGATGTCATTGTGTGCTGATGGAACTTAAGTTGGTGTTTGGTTGGTGTTGGTCTTGGAGCTTGAATTCAGGGTTTGGGTGCTGTCCCTGAGCTTTTTTGCGCAAGGATAGCACCCTATCATTTGAGCCACAGCTCTACTTCCAGCTGGTTAATTAAAGAGTCTCATGGACTTTCCTGCCTGGGCTGGCTGCAAATGGTGATCCTAGATCTCAGCCTCTGGAGTTGCTAGGAATACAGGCACGAGCCACTGTTGCCTGGCTTCTGATAGTATTTTTGTTTTTGATACTGCTTATCTAATTGAGAGCAGGAAGTGGCTGAGGTTGTTCTTCATGTCTTCAAGTTCAGATTGTATCTATAAGTCTATTATGAACAGACAACAACTAAAGGGAAAAAGGAAATCTGAACTAAGGGTATATCATCTTCAGCGTAGATTGTTAGTATATTATGTAAAATTCTTTCTTCTGGTTTTCTCATATCTAAATCTCATGAGGCCAAGTGATTGATAATTTTAACTCTCAGTGTTAAAGAAAGTCTTACAATGCACAGGAGATTAATCTGTAGAACATGTATTTTAGGAATTCCATCTCTATGATAAACACAGTTGTGATGTATTTTAGGGATTTCATTTCCTTGGTAAAGCAGCTAAAAACTCAACTACTTACCATAAATTAGTATGTACCTTGAGTTGAGATACCTCCCCCCACATACAAATGGAAATGGAGTATTTTTAAATAGTAGAAATGTCCCCTGGATAAGCTTGGGAACATTTATCTTCATAAATGAATATGATTCACAGTTATTAATTTATAATAGAAATGAATCTTTTAGGACATTACACTGTAAGATTGTACCTACAACTACATTACATGGCTGTGAATAATGCAGTAATTTCTAAATATTGATGTGTGTACCTTGCGACTGTATAGCATTGTAAAAGGAAAGAAATACCCAGTGTCATTTCCAAGGACTAAGTAGCTGAAAGGAAATGTTTTTTTGTGATAACAAGAACACAGTTGATCATGGGTGATGGCTATCTGTGATTTCCCTTAAAAACCCATATGTTTAAATTTTTTTGCATAATAGAGCAAAGGCCTGGAGATTTCATTTCAGCATTTATTTTTTTATTTTTTATTTTTTTGTTGGTCATGGGGCCTGAACTCTGGGCCTGGGCACTGTCCCTGTGCTCTTCAGCTCAAGGCTAGCACTCTACCACTTGAGCCATTGCGCCACTTCTGGTTTTCTGGTGGTTTATTGGAGATGAGAGTCTCATGGACTTTCCTGCCCTGGCTGGCTTTGAACCTCGATCCTCAGATCTCAGCCTCCTGAGTAGCTAGGATTACAGGCGTGAGCCACCCTGCCCAGCTTCATTTCAGCATTTTTATTCATCTACTTTCCATCAAGTATTTGTTGAGTTCCTTGGGTTTGTGCTGTGTGTTTCTAATGGGAAAGCTATGGCTGGGGGTAGATGTATAGATTTTCTTACTTTGCCCTGCTAGTCAGTAGTAGTTTCCACTCTGCCCTTTCCAGAAGTAAGGGGTTGAAAATGAAGCAAAATGCAAATAGACAGTATCAAGTAAGTTCGCCAGGTGTCCTTTCTGGGGCTTAGATGAGAAAGTTGAAAATATCTCATGCATATTTATTTTAATTTTTTCACATATATTCCTGATTGTATTGTATGGCTTCTTTCCTTTCCCTTAAAAAAAAAAAAAAAAAAAAAAACTCTGCTCCAGTTTGGCTAGTGTTTGGGCAGATTTTTCCTCTCAGTAAATCAAGCTGATTCTTCATTGTACCTTTCCGTTGCCTCCTACAAAGCTCTTTTTACCTATTTTGACAAGACAGTGTTTTATAAGAAACAGCTGTTCCTCTTGTGTGGCCTCCCCCCCCCCCCCCATTGCCTCCTGGGAGGGTCTGCGCTGCCCTCAGCTTGGAGGAGTTGGGTATCTAGCCTTCTTGCCAGGCCTTCAAGCTATTTCTGTATTGTATCCAAAAAAGTTGAGGCGGTAAACATTTTTCAAAGTAGCTTATTTCTATCAAGACCCATTTGTAAACTCTCATCATGGAAGAATTGTTAAAAACGACCTTTATTGACGTCTGTATTTCTCATTAGACTGAATTGTTGAAGGATATTTTAGAGGGCATGAAATGAATGTACATAAAAAGTTCTACTTGTATGTTGTTTTAACAACCTGTTTAATCCAAGTTCCACATTGGGAAGCTGTCCTTCACATCAGGCTGATCTTTAATTCAATTGCAAAAGCAGATAAAAATTTTTGTGGTGAGAATATTTCCACTTAAAAAATATATATTTCATTTTGTGTCAGAAAGTTTTAAACTGTTCTGTTCCCGTTATGTTCAGTGATCCTAAAATTGAATAGACAAAGTCCCTGCCTGAAACAGCATCCTGATTCATGCATGTGGTGTTTTTTTTTTTTTTTCTGGCAAAAATTTGCCTCAGGTCAGGAAGGGGATTGGAGTTGTTTGAAAGAAGTCAGTGAGTCCTGGGAGTTGGTGGCTCGTTGTTTAATAGACATGACTCATGTATTGATCAGGTTTGTAGGTAAATAAACAAACCACATTGCTTAAAAGCGGTGCTGTCCTGGCCACATGGAAGTCCGATTTGCTTCTCATGCTGCAGAATGTTTTAAAGTAGATAATGATGGGAAAATTTGTCTTCAAGAGAACTTTTAGTACCAGCCAGTTGTTTCTTCCCTTCAATTCTGCAAGCAAAATGAAATTTGCTTTTTAAACAAATGGCCTGGATATAACTACTAGTGAATGCTAGATATGTACATAACTCTCCCTAACCAATTCCAAACCTGAAGCAATGAAACTTGGTACCACAAAGATGAGCCTGCTTGCAAAGCAGGTTATGAGGATGTTTATAAAGTGTTGTTGTTGTTTTAATAAAGGCCTTTAATGAACTTGTCGTCTGATTTATAGGATGCTGGAATATGGTATTTGTTCCACAAGGAACCTACTGGGGAGTCTAGTGGAGTGCAGCTCTTGGAGAAACCCGAACTCACTCCTCTGGGTATATTTTATAACAACAGAGTCCACTCAAGTTTTAAGGTACATTCTCACATTTGAACCCTCAGTTCCTATGATTTTTAGGGTAAGGGATTCTGGGATTATGTCTCAGTCGTATTCACCTCTGTTTGACTCGTTCTTTTCCCTCTTTCCTTCCCTCCCATCCCTTCCCACCTGTCCAGTAGACCCCTTTTTACTTTCCTGAATTTGAGGATTTAGTTTATTTTCCTCTAGCTCCCATTGTGAGAGACAAACGTAGTACTCGTGGGCCTGGCTTATGTCATTTGACATGGCAATCTCCAGTTCCATCCATTTCTTCAGAAAACGATATAATTTCATTCTAAAAATGTAGTTGACTGTGATGCCTTTATTAAATTCCCGTTGTCTTGATCTTACAACATTTTAATCTTGTGTGATCTCTTTTTTTGTTTGTTTGTTTTTTCTTTTTGCCACTCCTGGGGCTTGAACTCGGGGCCCCAGTGCTGTCCCTGAGCTTCTTTTGCTCAAGGCTAGCACTCTACCACTTGAGCCATAGCATTACTTCTGGCTTTTTCTGTTTATTTGGTACTGAGGAATTGAACCCAGGGCTTCATACATGCTGGGCAAGAACTCTACTGCTAAGCCACATTCCCAGCCCTCAGTCCTGTGTGATCTTACATGTGCTCCTTGTAATCTTCTTCCTTATCTTTTTTCCTGGACTTTTTTTCTTTGTTGTTGTTGGTCGGTCATGGGGCTTGAACTCTGGGCCTGGGCACTGTCTCTCAGCTCTTCAGCTCAAGGCGAGTGCTCTACCACTTGAGCCACAGCGCCAGTTCCGGTTTTCTGGTGGGATATTGGAGATAAGAGTCTCACGGACTTTCCTGCCTGGTCTGGCTTTGAACCGTGGTCCTCAGATCTCAGCCTCCTGAGTAGCTAGGATTACAGGCGTGAGCCACCGGTGCTTGGCTTCCTGGACATTATTATTTGTCCATCCAGGACTTCTTTCCCTCCTCCCCCACCCCCCAAGCATTCTATGTTCTCTCTAATCTTGATTTCTGTGTGAACTATTTCCTTGGGTATCTTTGGGTTTTTTAACCTGCTTCCTCCTCCTCCACTAACGTGTTCTTTTGCTTTGTTAGCTTTCTCCATCCTTTCAGGTTTAGGTTTAGAAGATTACTTCTTTAAGGAGACATTCCAGAAATTCTTTTCATCTATGACACAAACCTCATCTAGACGTCTTTGTTTCTTGCTTCTAGCACCTCCTCTATTTTCTTTCCTATGTATATCTCGTAAATATTTGCATATTTTCATGATAGCTTTTGTATCACTAACAACAGGAAATAGATTTCACTTGTTCATTGTATAGACCTTCAAGTAGGCACTAAATAATTATTGAATTACAGGATGTGTCAAATAACAGGAAAATAGTTACTTTTCACCATTTCTTTGCTGCTTATCTCTATTCTTTTCCCCTCACTCTTGGGTAAAAGCAACAAATGATGACTTTTATGGCTCATTATTGTGTTTTGGGATTCATATTCATTTCAGCACATGATTATATATTTCAGGCTGGCTTATTTATTGACAAAGGTGTCAAAACGACCAACTCCAGTGCTGCTGACCCGAGGGAATACCTCTGCTTGGATAACAGTGCAAGGTAGGGCTGGCTCTTTTAGTCAGACTTAGCCTTATCTGGCTAAAGCAGAACTTCTGACTCATATACATTTAAATATACGTATACATATACATATATACACACACACACACACACACACACACACACACACACACATACATATACATGTACTCTACTCTTTGCTTTGGTAACATGTTTAGAATGGAGTTTCCAAAGCTTATAGAACGTTCTGTTGTCTCAGATCCTGAGTGTAAATATTTATCGTGTGCGTGTATGTGTGCGTGCGTGCGTGCGTGTGTGTGTGCGTGTGTGCGTGCACGCGCACTGCGCATGCGCTGACAGTAGGCTTAAACTTGGGCCGTTGAGCTCTAACTTGTCTTTTGCTCAAGGCTGGCCCTCTGTCGCTCGATCAACACCTCAATGTCTAGCTTTCAGTTAGTTAATTGGAGATAAAGAGTCTCACTAACTTTCCTGCCCAGGCTGGCTGTTGAACCCTGATCCTCAAATCTCAGCCTCCTGAGTAGCTAGGATTATAGGCATGAGTTACTAGTAGCTAGCTCATGGTCACTATCAAAATGCCTAAGAAGTGGAGACTTTTCTTCTCATTTTTCACACTCATGTTAGAGGGAGTTACAGAGGGAGAAAGAAAAGTAAGAGAAAGATTCTGAAGAAGGTTTGAAACTCAGAAGACTATGATTCATTGTAAAACAAGTTCCAACTTAGATGCTAACCCTGAAAACCAAAGCCTCTAGAATTTATGCCTAGTGGTCACAATGGAATGTTGCATCAAATCTGTTTCAAAGGGAAAGATCCTAGATTTGATGATTAAGCTGGTTCTGGTCCAGTCATTTATAGCCTCAAATTTAATTCCTAACCGGGCTCTGTGTATGTTGCTCTCCCGTTTGACCACAAAATATGGGTAGATATGGTTTGCCGTTTCAGCAGAATTCTGTTGCATGTTGTGTAGAAGCCAAAATAGACTAAACATCTCATATGGAAATAAACTTTTCTAGAAAAGATGGCAACTTCAAACCATAATCAGTAGGTACATGTTATTTTTCTGTGCTTCAAACTGATTGACCAATTTATGCAGCTGATGGTGTGTCAGGGTTAATAGGCTCTTTTGGAAGGGGAATTGCTAGACCAAGTTGTTATTAAAGAGATAAAGCAAGAACCACTGGAAGTTGATGAGTCGGACATAAGTGTGAGGCACGATTCTCTCATTACTAATACATGAGGTCAGGAGAGGGCTGGGGAACATTTGGTTGACAAATTACTCATCGAGATTCTTCAGAGGGCAAGTTGAACATGAAGTATTTTAGGACACTGATCAGATCACCTAGAAAGTCAGATCTTTATTTAAGTGAGCCAAAAAGTACTTCATAGCTGATCAGCATAGGAAGTGGAAAAGTAAGTAGAGGAGGCAAACTTAAGAAAGAAATGGAGGGGCTAGGAAGATGGCTCAGTGGTAGAGCGCTTGCCTTACATACATGAGGCCCTGGGTTCGATTCCTTAGCACCATATAAACAGAAAAAGGCAGAAGTAGTGCTGTGGCTCAAGTGGTGTAGAGCGCTAGCCTTGGGCTGAAGAGCTGAGGGACAGCGCCCAAGCCCAGAGTTCAGGCCCCACAACCGATGGATGGAAGGAAGGAAGGAAGGAAGGAAAGAAGAAAGGAAGGGGAGCACATAGATGGGAGCAAATGAACCAAAGGGAAAATGCTAGCTGACAAAATTAAGAAAACTATGTTAAATGATCGCTCCTACTCTTCTTGTTTCTTGAAGAGTTTATTATAAGGACTACAGATGTATACTCCACTAAGTTCTTATTGCCAGAAATATCTTTAAACCTGACACCGTTAACTCCTTTCCCTGCCTTAAAAATATTGACATAATTGGTATATGGGTATATATGTGCATCTGTGTACATACATATGAATAGAAGAGTATAAACGTATTTTAACTCCATTGATTTTTAACTAGATTTGGCAATTAAAACACTTTACCCATAAAAGAAGTGCTTTACTAGATGAACATAGATGATGATACGGGAATAGTAGACACTTCTCCGCACTCCATTGTTCTTACCAGTTTATAAATATATACATGCTGGTAGGAATTGGACCATGTGTGGATGCTTTTATTGGAAAGAGCTCGTTTTTACAGAGTACCAAGATATTTGGCAACCAGTTATACATTAATTTTGTTCAGAAACTGATGTTGTAGAATAGGCCTCCATGTATTCATGGAATCCAGACATGAGTAAACCTGATTAAACAAATGAGTAATAAACCCGCCTATGAATTAAAACTCTGGGCTCATGGTATTCAGTAGACATTCAGTCTGTTCATCAGAGAGGAAGCTGACTCAGTGGTTGATCAGATGCAGCCCTTCCCTTTGTCTTCAAGATGGGACATGACAGGAATCTAAAGATGGGAGGTCTTAGCCCTGAGTTTGAAATTGGGACATTTCTTCTGCAAAGAAGGCATCAGTGTATTGTCAGTGGAAGACAATTAAGGGAGGGTTGAGAAATGTGCTGAAATCACCTAGGGAAGTGGTGAAATACTAGAATGACTAACCATATTTTTATGTACCAAGTGGGAAAGAGGATGACAGTATATCAGAGCAAATGGTCAGTGGTAGAATTCGGTGGCTAGGAAGTTCTGAACAAATGCATTGACGGTGCGTAGAGAGTTAGATGTTGTTCATGGTTCTTGTTTCTCCCCTTTCCTGTAGAGCTTTGTGTGTGTGTGTGTGTGTGTGTGTGTGTTTAATTTCTAGAACTTTTCTATCTGATTAATGTATGTAGAGGGTGCAAAGCTGTTTGGCAGTTAAGTACAACGCAGGAACAGTAGATGTTGGCATGAAGTCAAGTTTTGGTGTGATGGCTCTGAACGCTATAATCTAAGGATAAAGAGACTCTTTCCCCGCACTGATATTAACTCAGTCTACACCTGAAGTGTATAAAGAGCCATCAAAATGGTCTCACCGTCCATTCACCACCTAGTCTATGATGTCGGATGGAGGGAGAGGAGAGAAGATAAATTCTATCACATCTGTTTCCATTGGCAGCATTTCCCATGAAGAACCATAGTCATACCTGCAGGCCTATTTTTCTGTGTTGTCTCCCTACCTTCTTACCCTCTGGCCAACTTGTTTAGAGTACTGAGCTTCCTGCCTGCCTGAAGGCTTTGTACTTGGTATCCCCTCAATAAAGCCTCTTCTCCTGTTGTGTACATTTATTGTGTACATTTATTGTGTACTATGTGCCAAGAGAAATTGTGGTAGCATTATACAAAGTACATTTCCTGATTATTTGATTGAAAATTTCAACTTGCTGAATTAATTTTTGAAAAACTAAAAAAAAAAAAATACCTCCATCTTTGTAAGATAATAGTCTTCTAGGCTTCTAGGATTGTTATAGTGGAGTTTTGGGTTTTTCCTTTTTTTTTTTTATGTTCTTTCCTTTGGTCATGGGATACTCTTCAACTTTGTGCCATATCTCCACTTCTAGTTTTTAGGTAGTTAATTGTAGATAGGAGTCTCACAGACTTTCCTTCATAGGGCTGGCTTTGAACCATAATCCTCAACTCTCAGCCTCCTAAGCAGCTAGGATTCTAGGCATGAGCCACCAGCGCCTGGCTTTGTTGGAGAATTTTGGACATCAAAATTATTTTTTTAATTTCCATGAAGATCTTTATAAATGTTTTACAACAAAGAGAAAGGCAAAATTCCAGACTTCATATTGAATGTCCATTAAATGAAGTCCATTTCAGGGTAAGCATTTTGAAGCTGTTGAACTCAGTTTTCTCCTTATCTAAAATATTTTGCAACTCAATACCACAATCCACATATTTTTATGTTGAAATATATCACTAATTTTTATAATAAGTTCCTTCCTGTTAGTATCATGTAACTTAAGATGATGCTAGATTTCCTAATGTGTATTTTTAAAAAACAAAATGAATTTTGTCTTTATAATGTTCTGTAGTAGCCATCTGACAAGTGGATTGTTTAAAACTGTAAGAAGAAGCTGGGTGCTGATGGCTCATTTCTGTAATCCTAGCTACTCAGGAGACTAAGATCTGAGGATCTCAGTTCAAAGCCAGCCTGGTCGGGAAAGTCCGTGACACTCTTATCTCCATTAACCACCAGAAAACTGGAAGTGGCGCTGTGGCTCAAGTGGTAGAGTGCTAACCTTGAGCTGAAGAGCTGAGTGACAGTGCCCAGGCCCAGAATTCAAGCCCCATGACCAACAAAAAACAAAAAAGAACAAAAAAAGGGAAGATATGAAAGCATTTCTTGGAAAACTTACATATAAATAAATGTCAATATTTTCTTGGAATATTTGAAATATGAATGATTATGTTGTCCTTTAAGATTTTTTTTATTTGTTTGTTTTGGCCAAATTTAAATTTTGTATTGTGTGTTTCTGCTTTTAAGTAGCCAATTTTGCTTCCTTTTTTTTTTTTTTTTTTAATCTCGCTTTTAAAATGTTGTTTTGTTTTTTTAAACCTTCCCCACTTCTTAGATTTCGACCTCATCAAGATGCAGATCCTGAAAAGCCGCGTGTTGCTGCTATAATTGACAGGCTCATTGCATTTAAAAATAACGACAAGGGGGCCTGGATCAGAGGAGGAGACATAATCGTTCAGAATTCAGCGTGCGTATTCTCCACAGAATTATTACCTCATGACTCTGGTGTGTTTATTTTTAAGGAATTATTTTTTTTTTTGAAACGCAGAGGAATGAGAGTACAGGGGTGGTTCCTGGAATTGATTTATTATTATTCCTAATAGACAGGATGAGCTCTGAGGAAGTATGCTAGAATTAACAGACCACAAATGTTCAGAATCGTCTCATTCTGTTGCTTTCATTGGAATGGAACTTGTCTAGGGACAAGTTCCCTAGACTGCTTTTTAATGAGATTGTACAGAAACTAGGAATTTAACTTTATAGAACACACATGCTGTCTGTCACAGAGCTCAGTAAAAATCTTTGGAACTACCTTTTTTTCTTTTTTTCTTCTTTCCTTTTGGAAACTCCTTCAAGTTTTTCTAATCTTCTTACCTTGCCATTCAAAACAAAAGCTGTGCAATTCTACCTTAGTGAGTGTTGACTTAGGTCTTACCCTGACTGCAGGCAGGAAGTGCCTTACTTCTGTTTTTATTCCCCTTACTTGTATGCTTTTAAGAGAGGCCTGATACATGTTGAACTAGGATTTGGTGTTCAACAGCCTGGAAAAAAGGTTTTGATGTTTTTCTTCCACTAACCATTAGCTTCTTGGTATTTTGCTATTGTGTCTGGCTTTGATTATCTAGAAATTGATAGTGATATTTGTTTAAGTGGTTTAGCTATCATATGGAAAAGTTTTGAAGTGACTACCATGATCTACTTGTCTATTTAAACGATTATTAAAAAACAATAATTTTAGCAACATTTATATACTGCCTTCTGGTTATTAGGCATTGAAATTATTTGGAAATTATCTGGATAGTTATTTCAACTTACAGATGAGAAAACTGGGGGAGAAAGAGTTGGAGTAACTTGCCCAAGGTTGCATAGCTAATAACTGGCAGAATCAGGATTTGAGCCTGTGCAGTGTGTGCTTTACCATGCATAAAGCTGAACTGTTGGGAGCTTCGAGAGAGTATACTGTGGGACTTCCTGGATTTTATCATTCTGTAAAGAGAGAATTACCTTTTGTGTGATGCAGTGAATTCCGGTGATCTCACATTCTCTTTTATCTTACAGGTTTGCAGACAATGGAATAGGATTGACATTTGCCAGGTTTGTAATTGCTTAAAAATACTTCTTTTAAAGGTACAAAATTGGCTTTGATTTTTAGGGTGGAGGAGAATAACCCACAGGGATGTTTTTATGATTTATTAGCCTTAAAACTTTTTTAGCATCATCTTCTTGATACCACTAGAGGGCCCAAAATACATGTTGATTGATGAATTGAATTCATACCAAAGTAGTGGGTTAATATAACTGGCAATTCTTTTTTTTTTTTTGTCACTTGTGGGGCCTGAACTCTGGGCCCGGGCTCTGTCCCTCAGCTCTTCAGCTCAAGGCTAGCGCTCTACCACTTGAGCTACAGTGCCAGTTCTGGTTAATGTAACTGGAAATCCATAGAAGAGTGGACCAACCATAAATTTTGCCTAGAAGACACTTGATATGTAACGTTTTTAAAAAGTAAGGACTTATCAGGGTGTCACTGGCTTACACCTTTAATCATAGCTACTTAGGATGCTGAGATCTCAGGATCACTGTTTAAAGACAGCCCTTGCAGACAAATCTTTTTATTTTTAATTAGCCAGCAAATAGCTGGAGGTATGAGCCGAGTGGTAGAGTGTCAGCCTTGAGTGAAAAACTAGGCAAGAACACAAGACATGGGGCTGGGAATGTGGCTCAGTGGTAGAGCGCTTGCCTAGCATGCATGAAGCCCTGGGTTCCATTCCTCAGTACCACATAAACAGAAGAAGCCAGAAGTGATGCTGTGGCTCAAGTGGTAGAGTGTTAGCCTAGAACACAGAGGCTCAGGGACAGTGCCCAGGCCCTGAGTTCAAGCTCCAGGACTGGCAAAACAAAAAACAAACAAACAATCCCTCAGAAAAAAAAGGACACAAGACCTGAGCTCAGATCCCAATCCCAGCACCAAAATAAAAAGCATGGGGTTAAAAGAAAAAGAGAATCATAGGATAAAGATTAAAAACCAACAGTTTTTCTTCTTAGAAGCTGTTTTAATTTCACAGTCATCTTTAAGAACTAAACTTATCACGTTGTATTTTCTCTGCATTAAAAAAAAATCTTTCAGTTGGCTGTATCTGTCAGTTAGTTGTTGTATACTGGGCGAGTTCATTATCATTTACCATATTATTGCTTGAGACTAAACAGTTGTTGCTCCTAACTTAAATTTCATTTGTTTCTATGTAATTTTCAAGCTATACGTTCATTTATAGAAGATATTTTCACAGCTTAAATTTTCCAGGACTTGAGAATGTGTATTAGAAAATGGTACTGGATTTTAAATAATCCTTAGATGTTTATTTATTTATTTATTTGCCAATCCTGAGGCTTGAACTCAGAGCCAGGTGTTCCTTGAGCCTCTTTTTGTTCAAGGCTAACTCTTGCCCACTTGAGTCACAGCACCACTTCCAGCTTTTTTCATTTTGCTTATGTGGTGTTGAGGAATCGAACCCAGGGCCTCATACATGCAAGGTAAGCACTCTACCACTGAGCCACCTTCCCAGCCCCCCCCCTTTTTTTTGGAGATAAAAGTCGTACAGACTTTTCTGTGTGGGCTGATTTCAAACCATGATCCTCAGATCTCAACTTCCTGAGATGCTAGGATTACAGATGTGAGCCACCAGTGCCCGGCTTCTTAGGTGTTTTTACGTTATAGCTTGTCTTCCTTTTGGAGGTTAAGTTTAAGGTTTCGTGAGGAAGTCTGTCTAATGAATGTCCTCCTCTTAACAGTGATGGAAGCTTCCCTAGTGATGAAGGCTCTAGCCAGGAGGTTTCTGAATCGCTTTTTGTTGGAGAAAGCAGGAATTTGGGATCTCAGGGTGGTCAGAACAAATATATGGGCACTGGAGGACTTGACCAGAAGCCTCGGACATTACCTAGAAACAGGTGAGCATTACTTTGGCACTATGTGAGTGAAAGTTAATAAAAGGGAAAATTAATTCTTAGGGAAGGTTCCATAATCATCCTGAATAGATTGCCTCCTCCTATCGAGACTCTCTTCTTATCTTCTCATTCGTATCATTGTTGTGTGTGTGTGTACTATCCTCTTGGAACTTTGGAGCATTCATAATTATCCATTCCATAGATCCCATCATCAACCAAGAAGCCATCCTTGTCTCTGATTACTTACATAAGAGCTTACATAAGCTGGTGGTTTTCTGCTTTCTTGAGGTCTAGAGAGAGTTACCAAACCATAAACTATGACATTAGGTCTGTTTTCCCTCAGTCTAGGTTGTTGGTTTTCAGAAATAGGCACTGAAAAAAGAAAATTACCTACTGAAAAAGAGTCCTAGAAAATGAGAGTTGGTTGATGCCAAAGCTGGCTCAAAACCTACTAGGACTGTGCAGTTAATAGTGTTTGCGGTTGTGGTGGAGGAAGGGAAGGCTGTCAGCATGTTTCTGTCATCATCATCAGAAGCATGAAAACAGTCCTTAGCACTGGAAAGCTTCTTCAAAGCTTTTAGGGAATGTTAACTAATCAACCCATACCTCAGTTCAGAGACCCAGTTTGAGTTTGTTCTCATGTTACTTATGAGGAAACCAGGTAGAGAAAGATCATATGCTAAAGACCACTTCTGAGCCCATTGCCCAGTTCGTCAAGAATCAGCTTAGTGAGAGAATGCCACCTAGGATCCTCGGGCTGAGACTAAATGGGGGAACGGGAAAGGTACTGCTTTCAAATTGAAGATTACTTATGATTGATTTTTCTACCCTTGTACTTGTCATTGTGGAATAGTGAGCAATATCTACTCTCGATAGAGAAACCCCTGTTGGGCTGTAGAAGCTGCTAGAAAAAGAATTTCATGAATGTCTTGTCTTTGTTGGTGGTGCTGAGGATTGAACTCAGAGCCTCATGCATAGCAGACAAGTCCTTTACCACTGAACTATACCCTCAGCCCTAATTCAGAAGTTTATAGTAGTTAATACTTATGATAACAGACCCTCTTCCATATATCTTATATTTATCTAATCTTCACAAAGCACCGTAAAGGTGTGCACAGTCATCTTCCTGGTTTACAAATGAGTGATGTATTAAAAGTAGTTTGGCTTAGTTTGGCTTCAATGCTGAGTTGGTTTTTGTTAGCTTGTTTCTGTGGATCTCAGGATTAGACTCAGAGCCTCGTAATTACTAGGCATGGACTCTTCCACTTGAGTCACACAGCCTTGATTTTTTTGTGTTGGTTATTTTTAAGGTAAGGTGTCACTTTATGACCAGGCCAGACTAGATTGGGATCTTATTTGCGCTTCCTCTGTAGCTGGGATGACAGGCATGTGCCACTGTACATGGGTAAGACATTGAGATGGAAGCTCATGAACTTTAATTAATATCCAGCCTGCCCTTGAGCTGTGATTGCTAGATCTCCATCTTGCAAGTAGTTAGGATTATAGGCTTGAGTATGGCTTATGCTATGTTTTTAGAGTTGTGCTGTAGTCTCCTATTTCTGTAGGTAGATTTAAAGAAGAGAAAACTAAGCAAAAAAGTAAAGTTATATAGGTATGGTTTGATACTGGCCAATTCAGTTCTCTTCCTTTTATTTTGCATTTACCTCCAGTTTTATTTCAAAGTTCTCATTGTTCCCTTGCTAAGGACAGTTTTCTGAGACAAAACTTTCTCATTGATTAATGGGTCCAGTCTTTGTTATACTAACTCTTTACCATCTTTTCCATGAGAGTAAGTAAAAAGATTTTGATTTATATGGTACATAGGTTTTTTTTTTCTGCCAGGCAGTTTGGTTTCTTGTTAGTTGATAAGCTTTTACTGTAAAACATTGCCAAGTTGTAAACAAAATAGTTACTGTACAAATCCTCTGAAAACCATTAAACATTTTAATAGGCAAAGAAGAATCCCAAGAAATTCAGACTATGGTAGGATTTTCACATTAATTCTAATTAATTTATGATAGTTAAGAAGAAGGAAAATGGATGCAGTGAAATTCTGGCATTTCCCCCCACCCCCCACTCTCTCTGGCAGTTCTGGGACTTGAACTCAAGAGGCTCAAGCTCTTGCTTACATTTTTCACTCAAGGCTAGAGCCCTACCACTTGAATCACACTTCCACTTCCAGATTTTTGCTGGCTAATTAGAGATGCCATGAGGACTTAGGCTTTTAGACTTTTAAGATTTATCATTTCACCTTTTTTTTTTTTTTTTACTGTCTCTTCTTAGAAAAACAAAAGGTTCTTTCTGTGTAAGCACAGAAGCACAGATTTGTCTTTTGTTTTCTTGGCTTGAGATTTTGGAGCTACAGAACGAATGATCAGATAGAACTTTTTTTTTTTTTTGGTAATGTATACTAGGCTCCACCTCTACTCGATACTTCTAACTCCAAATAAAGCATCTAACTGAGTTGAGTTAGGAAGCCAAACTCTACTGTGTTATGTGCTGTGTTATCTCTATAGCATTCATGATCTGAATTTACCCTTTTTCATCTTTCACACTATATATTTCATCCCATCAAGGATCTTGCTTTGGTGATCACTATATTTTGGTATTTTGCTTATTGTTTAAAGGTCATCTGACAGTAGTTATAAAACAAATGCTATTAAGGAGACTGGTCTGTGTGCGTTAAACAAAACCGTGTATTTTAACAGGACATTCCCTATTAGAGGCTTTCAGATTTATGATGGGCCCATTCATCTCACCAGAAGTACTTTCAAAAAATACGTGCCAACGGTAGATAGGTACAGCAGTGCAATTGGCTTCCTCATGAAGAACTCCTGGCAGACGACCCCCAAGAATAACGTTTCTCTTGTGAAATTTGGCCCACATGTAAGTGTGACCTCATGGCTCTTACACAGAGATGGTGGGAGGTAGGGAAAGAAGGAGGCCCATGCATTGTATTTCTAAAGACAAACTAAGATTTGCATGGAATCTCTCTTTGGGGGGAAGGGAGGCTGACAGAGTACTGGGGCTTGGCCTAGGCACTGTCCCTGAGCTCTTTTTGGCTCAAGGCTAGCATCCTACCAATTGAACCACAGCTCCACTTCTGGTTTATTTGGTGCTTAATTGGAGATAAGTATCTCACAGACTTTCCTGCCTCGGTTGGCTTCAAACTGCAGTCCTTAGCTCTCAGTCTTCTTAGTAGTTAAGATTACAAGCTTGAGCTTCCTGAATCAGGTTCGCAGAGAATCTCCATGATGGGAAAGAAAAATATGTATTAAAGGAGCTCCTAAACGAGTGCATTCTACCCTGTGTGCTCCAGGGGAGTGCTAACTCTGTGATTTGGGTTATTTTTTACATGCAATCAATCAATGCCTTGAACATGAAAATGACGTAAGAACAGGGGGACTGTCAGTGTCACAGGACCAAGAGGACATAGGATTGGGAAGTTCAGTAAAATAAATTGATGAGGTGTCTCATCTCCACTTAGAAATTTGGTTCCTTCTTGGTATTTTATTTGCCTGAGTTCTGAGGAATTAAAGGATAAAACAATTGGGAATGAAGATAGAAGAGGTGTGTGTGTGTGTGTGTGTGTGTGTGTGTGTGTGTGTGTGTGTGTGTGTGTGTGTGTGTGTGTGTGTGTGTGTGTGTGCGCACACACACCAATTTTGGGATACTCTCACTTGGCTACTTAGCTCAAGGCTGGTACTCAACCACTTGAGCCACACCTCCATTTCTGTAATAATTCGTGATAGCTAAGAAGAAAGAAGGAAGATGGATGCAATTCTGAAATGGTTTACTGAAAATAAGTGTCTACATTTATCTGCCTAGGCTGGTTTCAAACCTCAGTCTTCAATTATCACAGATTAATCAGAGCAAAGCAGTAAATAAATAAATAAAGGGACTGAACATTTCCAGTTGAGCTTCACTGGGTTTTCAAAAGTTTTGTTTTCCAAGCTCGTCATTAATTATGTAGGGAGCAACTAGATATCATAGTTGGCCACAGTGAAGCATGACACCAAACCAAACCGCTTTAACTGAAAAGCTGTTATCTTGTTGTAGGGCTGGGGTGTTAGCAGGAGCCCTCATTTTCTGTTTTTTGTTTGTTTGTTTGCTTGTTTTTCACCACCGTTAGGTTTCTCTGAATGTCTTCTTTGGCAAGCCTGGCCCATGGTTTGAAGACTGCGAGCTGGATGGCGATAAGAACTCCATATTCCATGACATCGATGGCTCCGTCACAGGATACAAGGACTCCTATGTGGGAAGGATGGACAACTACCTGATCCGCCATCCGAGCTGCGTCAACGTCACCAAGTGGAATGCGGTGGTCTGCAGTGGGAACTACGCCCAGGTAGGTCCAGCATGCGGCCTCATACTGAGCCCCTCTGACTCCGGCAGCCTTGATTTGGTGAGGCTTCTGTAGCTTCTTAAGGTGCTCAGAGGAAAGAACAAAACAGGGAAGAGAGAGAGGGAAGGAGGCAGGGAGGGAGGGAGGGGAGTAGTAGGAAAAGGGAGGAAGGAAAGAAAGGAAGGCCAAGGAAAGGGGAAAAAAGTACTTAGTTGACGGCTTCCCCAAACAATGTAATAGGTGAGAAAATGAATCACGGAGGAATGAGGTGATCTCACTCCAGTCTCCTTGCCACAGTCCAGCTCTCTGCACTGGGAGGGAGTTTTATCCTTCTCTTTCAGGTCATTATGGTTCCTTAATGAGGGAGTTTGATTTCAGAGACAGCCCAGAATTGGAGCTTGGAATTAGAAATGAGGAGACTAGGAAGGAACCCATGGGATTTCTCATCATTGTCTTAGGATATAATGTCTCTGTGAAGATCAGAAGGAGATGGCAGAGACTTGGAAACAGTCTCTGAAGTTACTACACTAGTGTGTAGTTCAACTGAATACCTAGTCCAGGAGGCTCATTTGTAAGTTGGTCTGAATAGTTAGGATCAAGGACTTCGGAGCCCAGAGTGGCTGGGTTTGGATCTAGTGTTCTTATTCCCTAGGGTGTGAATTGAGCAATCCCAGGTGTAAGTGGGATCCGTGAGAGTTCCTTCCGTCTGAGCTGCAGTGGTCATTGAATGAATTTATAGAAAGCATTGAGCTTGAAGGTCAGGTACCTGGTGAAGTAGCTGCTCCTAGTTGAGGAATCACAAAGTAGGGAGAGTGGGATTGATGGTAAAGCAGACTACTGGTTGCTCAGAACGTTGACGGTACAGAGTTTTTGGGCCAGTATTCTAGACAATGAAAGGTCAGATTTAGCAACAGACAGGTAAAGACGGATGGTGCTTTGTGCCCACTGTCCCCGCTAGCACTCAGGAGGCTGAGGCAGGAGTTGGAGGCCCTTCTGTGTTGTGTGGCCTCCTCACGAAAAGGCCAGTGCTGTGGTGTGTCCTCTCGGCTGGCCTTTCCTTACTCAGCCAAGCACAGCTCAGATCCTCCTTCGTCGGGGACAGGAGCCCAAGATGCCCGCGTGTCTCTTCTCTCACAGAAAATATTGTTCTAGCAAAGCCTATAGTAAGTGTGTGTTTAAATAGAGTGTGAAAGTGTGATTCCTTTCTTTATTTTCAATCTGTAAATGGTGTCAGGAGCATTGTCAAACACAAAAAGAGGAAGAAGACATAGAGAAGGGTAGAGACATGAGAGAGAAGTTCTGAAGTAGTCTAGATTAAATGTCAACACTCGGTGAATGTTTTAATTCTCCGGGAGAATTTAGTTCCTGGGTACTGATTGGTCTCAGGACATGAGTTGAAGTTTGTCTTACGATCGCATGCATCTGAGGAAGGTTTTGTTTTGGCATGGAAAGAGGCTCAAATGCCACTGGAATAAGTTCAGGACTTTCAAATTTGTCTCAGCTTAACATGTTTTTCCAGTTGCTGCAGACTGCTATATAACTTTTTTTTTTTAAATGAGTGAGTGAAAAATGACTTCTTGGGTTAGAGTAGGTCATGGAAAATGGAAAGCTGTAGCTCAAGATATATAAAATTTCCTCTGTTGGTGTAGAGGAAAGTCTCTTCGATTTTAAGGGAGGGATATCAGTTTTCATATTCATTTCCTTTTTTTTTTGTATATGTGTTCTTCAGATTGAGGGATTTCTTTGAGGAGCTGTGTGAACCACAGAAGTTTCATATTCTGATGAATAAGCTGGCCTGTGGTGGTGGAACTGCTGAGCAAGGTCTTGGCTAGCAGAACCAGGGTCTGTTTTTTTTGTTTTCAGCCATGTCTAGTTGAAGCACACTGTGTTGTGTGGAAGTGTGGCTTAGGATATGGTTGGCTGTTGTTCTTTAATTGGGCACAGATCAGAGAATCTCTTTGTCAGAGGAGGGACCTTTGACTTTCTGTGGAATAGTGTCTGTCGTTCAGCTGTTGGAACTCTTACTCTTTTTCATTGTTAATTTCCTTGTTTTAAGATCTATATACAGACGGGGAGCAGCCCCAATCTCAGTGTGACCATCACGCGAGATGAGTATCCATCCCACCCAATGGTGCTCCGGGGCATCAATCAGAAGGCCATCCTCCCCCAGTACCAGCCCGTCATCATGCTGGAGAAAGGCTACACCATCCACTGGAACGGGCCGGCCCCACGGACCACTTTCCTTTACCTCGTCAACTTCAACAAGTATGTGTTTATCCCTGTCCTTGCACGTCACTGAGCGAGTAGTCACTGAGTGGAGAAAAGGAACGACTTTCCTCCTGCCTCACAGATGCTAGTGTCATGCCCTTCCCTCCTCCTGTGAGGCGTCTGTCGCTTTGTGTGGATGGAGTTTAGAGATTGTACAAATGCAGTCTTGTCATTTTGACAGCACTTTTTCATTTTGATGACTGAGGTATTGTGTTTGAACAGCTATCTCATAACAGGTTTTGTTGTTGTTATTATTTTCCTGTGCTGGTAGGGGTCAGATCTAGAGCCTTATGCACAGCAGCCAAGTGGTCTTCCACTGAACTGCATGCTACAACCCAACCATAGGATTATTTATGACTCGCTTCTCTTCCTTCCTTCCTTCCTTCCTTCCTTCCTTCCTTCCTTCCTTCCTTCCTTCCTTCTTTCCTTCATTCCTTCTTCCCTCCTCCCTCCTCCTTCCCTCCCTTTCTTCCCTCCCTCCCTTCTTTCTCTTTCTCTTCTCTCTCTTTCTTTCTTTGTTTTATTTCTCTTTCTTTCTCTCTTTTTCTTTTTCTCTCTTTTTCTCTTTCTCTCTCCTTCCTTCCTTCCTTCCTTCCCCTCTCTCTCTCATTCTCTCTCTCTCTCTTTTTCTTTCTTTCTTTCTTTCTCCAGAGCATGAACTCGGGGCCTGAGTGCTGTCCCTGTGCTTTTCTTGCTCAAAGCTAGTGCTATACCACTTTAGCTGTAGCTCCTCTCCCAGTTTTTTTGGTGCTTAATTTGAGGTAAGAGTCGTATAGATTTTCCTGCCAAGGGGTGGGGGGCTTTGAACCGCAATCTTCAGATCACAGCATCATGAGTGGCTAATTATAGATGTGAGCCACCAGTGCCCAGCAACAGTAGGTTTTAATAGGGTTTCCTCAGTACTTTATTTTCTTGTGGCTAGGGTGGGAAGAAGTTTTATAAGGTTTTCCAAATGAACATTTGGACAATTTAAAAATATTTTTGAGATTTACTTTAGACTTGAGAGAAGAAAATGACATTATCGATTGGTAATAACTATCATAAGAAGTAGAAGAGTTGAGGCATAGACACCAGATATTTCCTCTCCTGCCTTAGAGCATTATTCCGCCCTTTCTTGATTTTTCAGCTGTCTGTTCTGATCATGTCCCAAGGCTCTATTTGAATATGGATTTTTTTTTTTTGTTCATTTGTTTGCTTTTGTTGGTTGTGGGGCTTGAACTCTGGGCCTAGGCACTGTCCCTCAGCTCTTCAGCTCAGGGCTAGCACTCTACCACTTGAGCCATCACGCCACTTCCGGTTTTCTAGTGGTTTATTGGAGATATGAGTCTCATGGACTTTCCTGCCCAGGCTGGCTTTGAACCGAGATCCTCAGATCTCAGCCTCCTAAGTAGCTAGGATTACAGGCCACTGATGCCTGGCTTTGAATATGCTTTAGTGTTTAATATAGTCAGGTTTTCCCAGCATGCCAGGGGAGTAGGGCTATGAACCAGGGAGGATACGGTGATTCTGTAACTTGTTACAAAAGCCAAGGGTTGAGAAAGGGCTTGTTTTTTAGGAAGAATGGATTTGATGAATAAGAACACAGTTCCTCAGAGAAGGCAACAGGAAGTTAAATTACAGAAGGGGGAGGGCACTACGGACATCTCTCTTTATGTGGAAACTGGTTCCGGCTCCCCCCTCCCCTGAAATTACGGCTCTCTGTGACTATTTACATCATTATATACAATGGCGGAATATTCTACTTAATGCCTGCACACAAAGCTTGTGTGCTTTGTCATCTCCGTATTGCTTACAATGTTAAAGCTTTGTAAGTAGTTGTTGTACTGTGTTGTGTAGGGAATATGGAAATTAAAGCTCCTCTCCTTTTTTTTTCCTGATATTTTTCATCTACAATTGGTTGAATCTGAGGATGTAGAATACACAGATAGTACAAACTAGCTATATTTTATTTTTTTTTGTCTTTTCTTTTTTGGTACTGGGGATCGAACCCAGGACGTTGCACTTGCTAGGCAAGCGCTTTGCCACTGAGCTACATCCCAGCCCTCCAGCTATATTTAAAGGCAGAAGTAAAGCAGTCTAGATCTACGACTGCTAACTCATGGGACTCCGTGAAACTGCTCAGATGTGTACTGAAAATAGCCATGGTTTATTCACCTAAGTGGCCCAAAGCTTTTGACTTGTCAGTTCTCACTTCAAATACGCAGCTGGCTGTCACTTGAGAGGAACTTGTAAGTTGGTCGTTTTCCAGCAATGAGCAAGCTTGGTGGCAGATGCCCTGGTGAAATAGGTTTCTGGTACACACTTTTAACTAAACCAAGACTTTCTCACTGATCGCTTCCTGTGTACCCACTGATATTGTCTTCCAAGTCAAAAATCCATACTCAGGCACCAGTGGCTCAACCTGTAATCCTAGCTATTCAGGAGGCTGAGATCTGAGGATTATGGTTCAAAGCCAGCCTAGGCAGGAAAGTCCATGAGACTCTAATCTCCAAGTAACTGCCAAAATAGCCAAACATGGAGCTGACTCAAGTGGTTGAACATTAGCCTTGATCAAAAAAACTCAGGGACAGTACCCAGGCCCTGAGTTCAAGCCCCAGGACCCCTCCCACACACACACACACACACACACACACTCTCTCCCTCTCCCTCTCCCTCTCCCTCTCCCTCTCCCTCTCCCTCTCCCTCTCCCTCTCCCTCTCCCTCTCCCCCTCCTCCCCCCAGTATTCACTCCTGATCATGAATTCTTCCTCTCCTCCCATTAATAATAATTAAACCCTGTTGATCCTGGCTCATTCATGTCGTTCAAATCTTTCTTCAGTCCTTCCTGCCTTGTTTGTGACTCACTTCAGGCCATTCACATATTTGCCTAGATCCCATAGCAACCACCATGCCCTTCCTGCCCTGTCCCCAACCCTGTTCTCCCCTGTATCCAGTCCTCAGTCCAATTCTATCCACAGTGAGATTTCCTAAATCCTAGTCCTGCTGATCCTGCAAGTCAGTTGCATGAAAGTTAATGAAAGAAACATTAAAAATAGGGAGGATGGAGAAGCATTGTGGAAAAATGACCAGTATTCCAAAAACTTAATAAGGAACTGGATCGTGAGTTTGAAGTGAGATATTACAGTCAGTTCTGGGCCAGCTCCATAAAGTGTCATACAAGCTTTTCATTGAACCCTGAGCAAGTAAAAACATTTTAATATGAAAAAAAAAAGTGAGCCTAGAAGTTTCAGAACTCTGCGTGGGCTTGAAATATAGTCAGACTTTCCTTGTGTAATTAGCTAAAAGATCGTGTAAGAATTACGTGATGGGTAGAAGGAAGAGGAAGACCGGTAATCTTTTTTTCTAAGTCAGTATGATTATAAGTAGGTCATAGAGTTTCTCGTGGTTCAAGCCTAAAAATAATGCTTTAAAAGTTATAAAAGAGCCAGGTGCTGGTGGCTCACTCCTGTAATCCTAGCTACTCAGGAGGCTGAGATCTGAGGATTATGGTTCAAAGTCAGCCTGGGCAGGAAAGTCCATGAGGCTCATCTCCAGTAAAACACCAGAAAACTGGAAGTGGCCCTGTGGCTCTAGTGGTAGAGCTCTATCCTTGAGCTGAAGAGCTGAGGGACAGCGCCCAGGCCCAGAGTTCAGGCCCCAGGATGGGATAGAGGGAGTCAGGGAGCAAACATAGACATACAATAACAAAAAAATTTCCTGGATTTCTTTTCAATAAATAGTATTTTAAATGTTCAGAGGTATTGTACCCTGGGCTCCTCCCCTAAGAGTATCTTTTTTTTTTTTGTCGGTCTTGGGGCTTGAACTACCTTTTTGGTGACTAATTGGAAGAGTCTCACAGACATTCCTGCCCGTGCTGGCTTTGATCCGCCATGCTCAGATCTCAGCCTCCTGAGTAGCTAGGATTGCAGGTGTGAGCTACTTACACCCAAGCATAATGGTTTTTTATACAGGATTAAGGATATAAAGAAAAAAATACCATGGTGATTTACTAGCGTGTCAAAAGGTTTATAAAAAAGCATATACTTTTATATCCAGCAATTTTGGTTCTAGGAGTTAACATTATAACAAGTAAAAATATATTTATGAGCGTTTTGTTTTGAGTGGTACTCAGGTTCGAACTTGGGTCTACATGTTTGCTTAACTTGCTTGCAACGTTGGCACTCAGCACTTGAGCCTTGCTGCCAGCCTTACTTTTTAAAGCTGGTTATTTTGGAGATGGAGTCGCATTGACTTTTCTGCCTGGGCAGGTCTGGAACTGTGATTTTCCAGATCTCCACTTTTTGAGTACTTGGCATTACAAGTGTGAGACACTGGTGCCTCACCAAACAAATCCTTGAGAATGGTTTTACCACTGTATATTAGTGTTTCCATCTAAGCATTAGTGTTTCCATCTAAGCTATTAGTGTTTCCAGCTAAACATGCTTATATCAGCTTACCCTTAACTTGCCAGCATCTAAGTATTTTGTACCCCACTTTTATTCAGTTTCACAAGTCCAGTTGAAATCTTTTTTTTTTTGTAGGTCTTATTGCTGTTGTAAATATATTGATAAGGAACATTTAGGTAACATGGATGATTTGTTGGTATATCAAAGTTCGGGGCTTCCATTATCAGTAGCTCCAATTTAAAAAGGATGTCAGTGGTTCAAATTTGCACATGCTGTCACACTAAACAAATACTAGCTCCAGAGTGAACTCCTTATATATATGACACGTTGTCTTTCCTTTGAAGGGATGACTGGATTCGAGTTGGCCTCTGCTATCCTTCTAACACAAGCTTTCAAGTCACCTTTGGCTTTCTGCAGCGGCAAAATGGTTCCTTATCCAAAATGGAAGACTATGAGCCGGTGCAGTCAATGGAAGAACTGCAGAGACAGCCATCCCAGAGGAAATTCTTTTTCGACTCCAGCACAGGGTAATTCAGTGGCCTGGAGAACGAGGATGCACATTGTGTTTTCTTTAATGGTGAAATTACTAGTTCTTCAGCACAGCTTAGAATAGGCCACGATGTAATTGCTGATGTGGATTGTCCTTCCTCATCACTATTAGGGGGTTAGAGAGTGCTAGAATGACTCGTAATTATAGTGAGCAGTAGGAATTAAAGGAAGATGTTTGCTTTTGACCTCTGAAGGCAATTTAGAGAATAAAATGATACTTATTTGGCCCGATGGAAAAATGAAATAATTTGGGGTTTTTGGCGGGTAACAGTTATGAAGATAATCATTTTGATAGGTTATAGTTCATATTTTGTTGAAAGGTTATTTTTCTTCTGCTGACTTAAGGTTACCTCTAAAGTTGACCTAGAGTTAAAAAAGAGAAAAAAAAAAAACCAGTGTATAACCATGGCATATTTGCTTTCAACTTTCTCTAGGCTGCATCTTTCCACTTTTTAATTCTAATCCTGTTCTCCTGGGGTCCTGTTGGCTTTGTCTGCTTTTATCCAGTTACAGTCTCCCTCAGCCGTGGGTTATGGTAGGCTTGCTCTCCTGTACTATTCCAACAAGTAGCATGCTCCTTTAGCCTCCATCCTCAAGTTAACATCCTATTATCTACCACTGTCTTGGTAAATTAAGATTCTCATTTATTCTGCAAATTCGCAGTCCTTTGGAAGATAGGAGCATGCAAAGAAAGTAATGAGAGAGTCAAAGGCTCTAAGTCCTATAGAGAGATAATAAGTAGACTTTGGGGAAGAACTCAAGTTCAGCCTAGAGCGACCAGTGACATTCTGAAAGGTGTCGCTGGAGCTAACACTGAGGCTCTGTCAGAAGATGGAGGAAGACAGGGGTGAGGTGTCCAGATAGGGCAGCGTGGATAGGCACATGGAGGCATGGGAGAAGATCGCATGGCATGTTTGTAAAAAGCAAAAAGTTCACAGGGGACAAGGCAGCAAGATTGATTGGGACGGGCAGGACGGAGGGAAATGAAGCTGGGGTCTGGTCACTAAGTGCTTGGTTAACCTTTGAGTTAGCAACCACTGTGATCAGCTTAAAGTTTTCTTATAATTGTTTTGTGATTTCAGTTTGCCGTGAGACTCAATATACCTGGGCTTTCATTCTATAGCTAGTAAGACTTCTACGTTCCCAGTTGATTGCCCAGAAAAAAAAATAAAAGACACTCCCAAATTAGTGCGGACAATCTGGTGATCACACATTAATGAATTAAGTATTTATGAAGATGGGAAATATATTTATGATCTGGATATTTCAAGACTCCCTCAGCTTCTGATATCCTGATTCTTCCTAATACGGTTCATTTCGATTATCTTAATCATGTAACCAAAAGGCCCGTATCCAATTGGGTCCCTTTCATTCCTTCAGTATATAGGATAAAATTACTGATCATTGGGACAGTGACTGAATTTTTACCTCTTACTTCCAACTTTGCCTTGTTAATTGATCTCATGTAAACATGTGAATTCGGGGGTTTTCCCCCCTTACTTACTATACAAAATAGTGGCTTTCATTTGGCATAAAATGTGAATTCTCTTGATTTCTGGTCCTCAGTCACATTTTCCTGAGAACTTCAGAATCTTGACTTCCTTTAGAAAGACTAGGTTTGCAGAGAGATAGCGGATTGTGACTTAAAACTTGTTTTTCCATTCACTTTGGCAGTAGGATGATTCAGAATGAGTGGGACTTCCATTCGTCTGATTTCAGTCCAATTATAGAGGATGGACTGCATGCCCATCTGCTTTTGGAAAACATCACAGGATTGGATTTGACTGTCTTGGCCTTGCTGTTTCATTATTCTAGAGATATGTCTTTAACCAAAGTGACTTATGAATAGCAATAAAAATAAGAAAAGCCTACATTCATTTACTAAATCTCAAAATCCACACCAATCTATAGTTTTACAAAGAACATTAAGCCAAGCGACATTCCATCCTCTCAAATTACCCATTGAACCAATTTAAACAAGAAACTATATCTGCTCTCTTCCCAAATGACTAACCTGGGGTATCAGCATCCTTTCTAAAGAAGTCCTACATTTGACTTAAGACTCTAGGAGGATTAGCAGGAAAGAGAAACTAGTTTGCTAGTTTGGGATGGAGTCTTTTTTGGGGACCGTGAATGGGTTTGAGGGATTTGTATGTTTTTGAGGAGAAGTCTAACACCTTCCTGGGCTGCTTTCTGTTTCGTGCAGGTTATTGTTTCTGTATCTCAAAGCCAAAAGCCGCAGGGATGGCCACAGTTACTGTTCATCTCAGGGATGCGAAAGAGTGAAGATTCAGGCAGCCACGGACTCAAAAGACATCAGTAATTGCATGGCCAGGGCGTATCCACAGTATTACAGTAAGCCAGCAGAGACGAAACGCAAGCTGTCCATGGTCACCGGACCCTGCCAAGGTTGTGGGGCCCGCCAGGTAAACAAGGGAGAGGAGGAGGGGGGCTGCGGTCTGGGGGGGTGAGGTCAAAGGGCAGGACTTCTTGGCAATAGGACCCCTTTTCTTTGAAACATCTCTCTTGCCATTTGCTAAATAAATACGTTGTATCTCTTGGAATTCTGGCCCACGCTGGAATGTGATGATGCTCATAAAAATCAAAATAATATTCGTCAATACAGAAATGCCTTTTGCTTGTGACACGTCATTTGGCCAGATGGCCCCTGGATTTTGTTGATTAGCTGTTGCTGTGTGAGCCATCGATTTTTCTTTACCCCATGAAGAGCGTGTGTACATGCATGAGTATGTATGGACATAGGCCAAAGGCTGACTTGGGGGTTCCATATATCAGGTCACCCCAGTACACCATTTAAGGGGACAAATAGTAGGGAACATCCAAGAAAGGAGATTTATTAATGTGCTGGATGGACAGGAAGGGAGAGTAAGAACTTCAGTTCATCTTTGTGGTATAGACAATGTACTTTAGATTTAAGTAAAGAACTGAACACAGGGGGTGAGAGGTATGTATACTCAAGCAGACCCACGCCAATGTATGATCTGCTTGATTGTGAGCTCAGGACTGATCGATAGCCCAGATTGGCTATGGATTTTACATGGTTTAAAATTACAAGTTGGGAAGGTGGTCTCATTTTCTTTCTTTGCCACGATTATGATCTACAGTATTGCTACTGGGGGCTTATATGTGTCAAAAAGTGCTCTTTTAAAGTGCTTTTAAAAAAATTATTGGTGTGAAATTTCTTTTTAAAAAATGGAGCTCATGTGCAAATGAACTTTGACTCCCTCCACTCCCTTTTTTTTTTTTTTTTTTTGGTGGGGGCAGCAGGACTAAGGTTTGAGCTCAGCCTTGTGCTCTGACTTGGCTGGCATACTATGATATGAGCCATACTACAGCGTGGCTTTTTGCTGGTTATTTTGGAGATCAAGTCTCATGGGCTTTTCTTCCTGGGTTGGTTTTGACCCCTTGATGCTCCAGATATTAAGTCTCCTGAGTAGCTGGAATTATAGATATGAGCCACTGATACCTGCTTCCATAATTCTTTTAAGATGGAAAATGTTGTAAGGCATCTGCTATTCTATTTACTTGTAGTTAAAAGGACAGATGGACTTTGGTTAGTGGCAGAAGCAACCCTATCTCTTGAATGTGACAGAATAGAGGGGAGGGGGCAGTATATAATGTCTGACTCTGAAATACTTTGCATATCACTGAGAGGAATTGGGTCTTGGCCTTGTGCAGGGCACTGGAAGTTTCTATAAATAGTGTGTGCCTTCGTTACAGATACTTATTTTCTCAGTACCAAAGTGATTAAGCCTCGATTCAGAATTGACTTGAGAGGGACCTTTAAAAAGCAATTCGTGCCTATGGATGCTTAGATAGGTCACATTTACTTAGCCATGTATTGAATTCATTTGGGGGAAAGGGTACTGGGGATTGAACCCAGGACTTTGTGCATGCTACACATGTGCTCTACCACTGAGTTACACTCCCAGCCTCTGAATTGGTTTTATTAACAAGATTGCATTTATATGAAACAGATCATTCTAGAAAAATGAAAACCATACATTTCCTGTATTAAATGTGCTAAAAGAGGGAATTCCCCATCACGAAATACGTATTCGAAGTTCAGAGAAGGGAAAATACGGTTGGGTGGCATTGATATCCTTGAGGGAGACTTTCATTAGAGGATACAGTCTCAGTAACTGTGGAACCTTTTCCTATGCAGCTGGTGTTTACTAGTGATCCTCACAAGACCTACCTCCCTGTGCAGTTCCAGTCACCCAGTAAAGCAGAAACTCAGCGTGGAAGTCCGTCTCTGATTTCTGTAAGTGTTCTCTGATGTTGTCTCGGTCTCTTCAAGCTGCTGTAACAAAATTCCACGGGCAGTGGCATGTAAGCAGGAGGAACATTTTTTCCCCCCACAGTCCTAGAGGTTGAGAAGGCCAAGATTGAGGCACACGTGGACATGCAGGACTGTTTCCTGCTTCATTAGATAGTTCCTTCTCTGGACCCTCACGGGAGTAGGACCAAGAGCTCTCTTCCTTGCTCTTCCTTTGTGCGGACACTAATTCCATTTATGAGAAGTTCACCCCTACATCCTCCAAGGGTCCACATACTAATAACATTCTTTGGGTTTAGGGTTTCAGCTTCTGAATTTGTGAGCACACAGACATTCAAATCATAGCCATGATTTCTTGCTTTCATCTCCATGCTAGTGATCTAAATTATCTCTAGAAGTAGTCACTGTTGTTTTTTGTTCTTTGTGTTATTTTGGTTTTGTGCCAGTCCTGGGGCTTGAACTCAGGGCCAAGTAAGTGCTGACCCTGAGCTTTTGGGCTCAAGCCTAGCCCTCTTGAGCCATAGCTCCACTTCTGGCTTTTTGGGTGGTTAATTGGAGATAAGAGTCTCAGGGACTTCCCTGCCTTGACTGGCTTTGAACCAGGATTCCAAGATCTCAGCCTCCCAAGTGGGTAGGATTACGGGCATGAACAACTGGCTTTGGCTTAGTCACTGGTTTTTAGTCGTGTTGTCATTGTTGGCAGGAACATGGATACATACACGCCTCCTAAACCTTCATTTTTTAAAATAAATTATTTTACAATTTTTTTCCCAGTGGATTGTTTACTGATTATTTTAAGGCAGATGTTAAAATTCCTTCACATTAATTTTCACTGAGTAAATTTTACAGTTGACTAGGATTTCATTTCTGTAAGAGGATAGGCCTCTGGTTAGAACACAATTGTCATATTAAGTTGCTAACATAGAAAAACATTCAGCCTTGTTTTGGGAATTAAAACGAGTTTTTTTGTTTTTGTTTTTTTACAATATGGAAAATGAAGATTTTTTTTTGTGTGTTTTGCTTTGTTTTGTTATTTTGGGTTGGTCATGGGGCTTGAACTCAGGGCCTGGACGCTGTCCTTAAGCTCTTTTGCTCAAGGCTAGCATTGTACCACTTTGAGCCATATCTTTACTTCTGGTTTTTTGGTGGTTAATTGGAGATAAGAGTCTCCCGGCCTTTCTTGCACAGGCTAACTTTGATCTGTGATCCTCAGATCTCAGCCCCCGAATAGCTAGGATTACAGGTATGAGCCACTGGTGCCTAGCTGCAAATGAAGGCTAAATCTTTGAAGTGAAGACACAGGGGTTAGTTCTCTTTTCTAAGTGGATTAATGAAGCATACCTGCAGGTTTCAATGTCAGTAATAGAATGTGGGTTTGAACCAAGTTAGCTACTAGGAAGTAGGGCTCAGGAAGTAGCTGATCCAAAACCATAGTGACCTGGATACCACCAAAGAAAGAATGTCTAGCTATCTGCCTCATAACCTACCAGGGCCCACACCCTGTCTCCTGGGGTCTTTAGGAACTCAATCTTTGTTTCTGAGATGTGTGTCATAATCACAAATCCATATGTGTGTATATATATATATGTATATATGTATATATATGGAAAAATAATTTTTACTATTCTTTCCCAATTTTTTAAATTACCATAAGATACATATAACGTGAAATTTACTATCTTCACCAATTTTGAATGTGCAGTTCAATGGTATGCAGTGCAGACATCACACCACCTTGCTTCAGAATTTGTATTTTATTCAGTGAAGATGGGTAATCCCAGTTGTAGCTCAGGCTGTATTTCTACCTACATTGCTCTGTTAGCAGGCCTTCATTTTGTGAAAAACTCAGATCGTCCTTATAGTTTTTGAACTTGGGGACTTGAGCTTGCTAGGCTAGTTCAGTACCACTGAACCATACCTCCATTGTTTTGTTGTTGTTGTTGTTGTTATTTTTGAGCTAGGGTTTCCCTTCTGGCCTGGGCAACAGGCCTTCTGTGTGCTTCTGGTTGTTGCTGAGATTGTGAGCACATCCATTTTCCCTCCTGTGGAGATAATCTTCTTCTGCACTTTCTACCTGGCCTATCCCAGATCCACGATTCTCCCAATATCAGTGTCCCACATACCTTGGGAGGAGAGGCGGGCACCATTGGACCTAGATACGGTGCTGAGAAGGGGTTTTGTGGCCATTTCTGCCCAGGTTGGCCTCACACTGGAATCCTGTTCATGTCCGCCTTCCAAATAGATAGAAATACAGATGTGAGTAGACTGGCATGCTCAGGATGTCCTTTCATGGACATGGAATTTGTTAGCTCCGCCTCTTGATGCCTTCTTTGCAGGAAGGAAGCAGGTAAGTGCTGAGGCTCACTGTTCTAAAAACTTATTAGACAATTAGGGAATATACTGTTTGGCCAATACAAGTAAGTCTGCAAAGATCAGTCTCTTCCCTAGGACATCACATTGCTTTGGCTTCTACGGAAAGTTTAATTTCCTTTGACCAACAAATTTTTATTATGAGGAGGGCAGGATACTTTTCACAAGGATAATTTGAATGCAGTGAGAATCCTTACATAGTTTACCTGGAATGTGTATCCATTTTAAAATACTTTTTTTTTTTTTTCTGGCATCAGATTTTGGACTCAGAGCTTTTCATTTGTCCAGCTTGCTCACTTGGCTATGCTAGTACTTGAACCATCTCCAGTTTGGATTTTTGCTGGCTAATTAAAGATAGAGTCACTCAAACTTTTTTTTTGCCCAGGCTGGCTTTGAACTATGCTCTTCCAGGTCTCCTGAAGTTGCTAGGATTAAAGGCATCTGAGCTTGTAATGAGCCACTGGCACCTGGCAATATTCAGATTTTTTTTGAAATAGGAGAATTGCTTCTAGTTTTTTTTTCACATATATAATTTATCTCAGACACTTCCAGAACAATTCATTGGATTAGAGCAATTTAAATGTAGCTCTAAAAATTAGTAAATTCTTAAAGTGGAGCTGTGGCTTAAGTAATAGAGCCTTGAGCAAAAAGAAGATCAAGTCAGTGTCCAGGCCCAGAGTTCAAGACCCATGATCCTCCCCCCTCCCCCCCCCCCAAAAAAACCCCAAACAACAATGAAAAACAGAATTTTGACCAGGTGCCAGTGGCTCACGCCTGGAATCCTCAGCTGCTGAGAAGGTTTGATCTGCAGATGAAGGTGTAACACCTGCCAGAGCATGAAAGCTCATGAGACTCTGCAAGTAACCACCCAAAAGCCAGACGTGCCCAAGTGGTAGAGTTCTAGCCTGGAGCAAAAAAGCTTGGGGACAGTGCCTAGACCCTTAGTTCAAGTCCCAGGACGGGCACCAAAACCAAATCACACAAACAAAAAAGCAAATTCTAGTCACATCAGTAGTGGTTAGATAAAACTTCAGTGTAATTTTCCCAGAGTACAGCAGTGGAGTGGCAAGAGCGTGTATGTCCTTTGCAAAATTTAATGTAGGTTAGGATTTTCCATCCTAGTATACCTGTGGATTACCGTCTAGTCAGTTTGCTTTTGTTTTCTCTCTTTTCTTGAGAAACTGATGATATTTGGAAACGTCTAGAGTTCCTCTTTCTTGAAAAGATTTTGAGCCTTAATTTAAAGAGGATGATTGTGGGCATTCATAATTATTTCAAGGCAAATGTAGCTTAAATTCAACTAAAAGTAGCTTTTTTTTTTCTATTTTGATGTCCGAGGATTGCTATATTTGGAGCACAGAGATGAAGCAATTGTGCTGCTATGAGATTGTGTACCTAGACTTGCTGGCTGCCACTCTCTTTGGGGCACCGTATGATCTGTGTGTGTGTCATAGAAGCATGTGACTCCAGTTAGATTGGAATGCATGGATGGATGTGTGGTGCAGAGGCCCGCACTTGAACTGACTCCCAGAGCTCTACCTCCAGAGAAGGTGCCGGCACAAGGCCGAGGCCTGAGTGCCGTATCACCCAGCTCGGTCCAGTGCATTTACCACACCATGCTCAGAGCATCTGATCTGGTCAGCAAAAATCTGCGCTCCACATGTTAGAGGGACAGAGGCATCCTATCCGACAGGGGAGGCAAAGTGCAATTCTGGGCTTACAAGGGTCTGGAAAGAAAAGTCGTCTTGGAAAAAGTCATCCTTCTGAAAGGATGATAGCCAAAGACTTTGGTTTTTTGTTTTTGTATTCTTAGGTCAATGGCACTGACTTCACCTTCCGAAGTGCAGGTGTCTTCATCTTGGTTATTGATGCGTGCAGCATACCCTTCCGGTTGATAGAAAAACGGATGTTTCTTCTTGCTGATATCAGTCGCATGGAAGAGTATTTAAAAACAAGCATCCCTCCAAGGTATGTCCAGTTCACTTATCTATACCAAGGACAAACCACTCTGACAATGTGGATTCCTCCACACAGATACCTCCTTGTTACCTCGAAGCTGTGGATTCTAGTCTTCATCTGTGGACATTCGGGGCTAGGGGAAAGTCATTTACTCCCTTTTTCGTGTGTCAGATTGATGCCTCTGTGGCCCATAGTGCTTGTTGAGAAGCTATTACTCATCGGTGGCTGCTTAAATATTCAAAGATTTGCAAATGCTAGGAATGCTCTTGGGAAGAGGAACACCGTTCACTTTGGAACATTGCTATGATAGATTTTTATTATTAGTTCATCTACTATGTACTCCATTCACTTACTACCATTTTGAAGTACTTTTTCCATGTAATTTTGCCTCTTGTAGCTATCCGTACCACCAGTAGGCACACATAGCATTGTGCTATGGCTGTGGTTCAGGAAGCCATTACCTCAATCACTTAGAAATGACCAGATAAAAGTAATTGAAAAAGTGGCTGAAGGCTGAGGGTCTAGTACTGGGGATTGAACTCAACCCCTGCGGGCGCTGTCCCTTAGCTTTTTTGCTCAAGGCTAGCACTCTACCACTCGAGCCACCGAACCACTTCCAGGTGGTTTGGGCAGTTAATTAGACATAAGCGTCTTGTGGACTTTTCCTGCCCAAGCTGGCTTCTAACCAGAGTAGCAAGGATTACAGGCTCGCGGCTTCTGGTCACTTTAAAGAGCGCTAGTTCTGGCTTGTTTTGTTTTGTGTGGGTTTTTTTTGGGGGGGGGTTGTTTTTTTCACTTGATTTCTGAAGAAAAATGCAGAAGAAAAAGCTTGCTTTCTCTAGGTTGGTCACATTTGAGGCCCTTTCTGCTCTTCATCTGTGCTGCAGTTGCTAAGGGATACATCAAGAGGAGAACATAAACTTCCCAGAATGAAGGGACTGCCCAGCTTCCGAATAACTTCCAGTTGATCTGGAAATTATTCTTTATAGATTACAAAACTAGATCCTATAAGATTACTTTGGTGCCAAATTCCCTGTATATTATATACAATGTTATATATACATTATTACACACAATATTATATGAATACAATATGTAATACAATATATTACAAATATAAAAATATATTGTATTTATATTTTATATATTTTATAATATATAATATGTATAATTATATAAGGTATATATAATCATATGTAATTATTATATAATATATAGTTATATTGTATTATAATGTAGGTTATATTATAATATATCATCATGTATAATATAATAGAGTATCAGCCTTCCGCAAAAAAAGCTCAGGCACAGCGCCTGGGCCCTGAGTTCAGGCCCCAGAATCTGCGGGCGTGCACACACACTCATATGCAAATGCACACACATATGCATATACAACAATAGCCAAGTTATAATTCTACCACAAATAAGACAATGCTAGTTTTGCAATGTAACCATGTAATTGTAACCCCTCTGTACAGTATTTTCACAATTAAAAAAAACTAAAAAAAAAAAAAAAAAGAATTAAAACGGACTCATTAACAAAGTTATTCTTAGAAATGGGACTAAGAAAAACCTTTTGAGGGTCTTGCAAGAGTACTTCTTATCTGGCTGTTCATTGTATGGGAGGCTTCAGATTGCAAAAAAGCCTAATACTGTACATTGGAAATTTAGGAACAAATGTTTTTCTCTATATGTGTTGAATTTTGAAAAACTGCTAAGACTATACTGGGCAGCTAGCAGTGACGTCTTGGGAGACGAAGACCTATGTATCTGCAGCGTAGGGTGGCCTGTTAATAGTCACATGGACTGACCGGCCTGAGGAATTCCACATATTGAAGGTCAGGCCTCAGAGTTGCTGTGGTCAGGCCTCTGCACCACTTCTGAATTGAGTCAGCACTGTGTAAAAAGAGGGCACCCAGGAGCTGCACTAACACAACACTGAAGATCCTAGCCTGAAGAAACGTCAAGACCCACATTAAGAAAGTAAAATGCATTACTAAAGGATTTGTGGCAAGAGTTGACTTAGAGGAAGGACACTCTGACTCTGTCTTTGTGGATGGCAAGCTAACATTGCAAAGCTGATGCTACCAAATTAAAATACAAAATCAACACAGTCCCATCAGTAGAAATAAATAGCTTAGCTTCCTGTCATACTTAGCAATTGATTATGAAGTCTAGCTGGAAGAATGTAGGAGAGTAGTAAATTGCTTTTACATGGATTACACTTGTGTGCTCAGACACTGAAAGGAACGATACAGCCATAGTAATTAACAAATACACATAAGTCTAAGTATTTTATTGACTTATTCTATGAAAAAGACAGCAGTTCTTAAGAAATGTAAACTTTAGACCATGCAGAATTTATCTGTCTAGTTTGTCTGTGTTGGTACTGGGGCTTGAACTCATGGCAGTGTCTCTTAGCTTTTCTACTCAGCGCTTTACCACTTGAACTATATAGCTCTACTTCCAGATTTTGGTTGGTTCATTGGAGAGAAGAGTCTCACAAAGATTCCTGCCTGGGATGACTTTGAACCTTGATCCTCAAATGTCAGTCTTCTGAATAGCCAAGATTACTGGTGTGAGCCGCTAGCCTCACTCAAGAATGCTGAATGACTGAAATTAACTGGTATTCTAATATTTATCTGCAGGTCTGTTGTTCTGTTAAGCACAAGAGGAGAAATAAAGCATCTGAACATTTCCGATTCCTTAATATCTCTGGGATTAGCCAAACCAGCTCATCTTTATAACAAAGGTTTGTGTTTGTGTTATTCTATGAGGTTCATAAGAGGCCAGTAGCACTTGTATTTTTATAGTGAAACTTAGTTGCTGGTGCATTTTTGTGAGCTTGTTTGCTTGGGGTGGGTGTCATGAAGACAACTCCTAAATAAGGAAGTGTGTTGGACATGATTCATCACTGAGTGGTTAGTGTTTGCTAACATAAAAAAAGTACATATTTAAATATGTGTATATATGTAGGTGTGTGTGGGTATATATATATATATATATATATATATATATATATATATATGTAGATATATGTTGTGGGGTGGGAAGAGAGAGAGAGAGAGAGCTGTTTGTTTTGCTCAACTCTGATTCACCTTCTGCATGACCTACGGACCCATTGCTGTACAAATTGAATGACTGTTGTTCTTTTTTTAGGAAGTACCATATTTTTGGGATTCAGTGGAAATTTTAAACCATCGTGGACTCAGCTGTTTACCAGTCCTGCTGAGCAGGGCCTTGGGGTGCTAGAACAATTCATACCACTGCAGCTACAGGACTACGAATGTCCAAGGGGCAGCAGTGTCCACAGGAAAGACTTGGAACTGTTCAAGCAGGCTTCAAAAGCGCACGAGAGATTGACTGTAACTTAAGTGCTGGGAAAGAAAAAAAAAGAACGAAAACAAAACTGTGAACTAACTTATTTAATTTATGGCATTTTAAATGACACTGTTAACCCAATGGAACTGTTTCCCTGTTTGATACAGAAAGGAAAGAATGATTTCAAAGGGATTGCTTGAATACCAGTTCACCTACTTTGTTATTGTATGAACTGTTAGAGAATTTGTCTTTGTGAAGGCCGGTATAGTCAGCCGTTCTCCTGTTCCTCACCTTGAACCCCAGTATTTAGTAACGATCACCAGCAGAGTTCAAACTTTATATACTGGGTCATGCTGGGGTGAGGTGGGGTGGGGTGGGGGCTTTAGAGGGGCTGCCTGAGCTCTTCAGAGGACCAGCTTCTGTAGCACTTTGGATACTTGAAGTCTGAAGCTCAGCTGTGCTATGTGTTGATTAGCATGGGTGGCTGGTATTTTCAGCAATGTCTAGGGGAGGTGGGGGCGGGGGTTTCTGGGGCAGCCTTTGAGGGTTTTATATGAAGCTGAGTGAAGAGTCAGAAGTGGCAACTCAGGCCTAGCCCATGCCCTTTTTAAATTATTGCTTGGACATGTGCTATTTTTATTCATTGATCTATTGATGACTCCGAAGGATTCAACTTTCAAACAGGATGCATGTGGGAAAAAGGGCTTTTAGAGAATTGAAAATCCCTTGAATCTGTGACCGTTGGGCAAAAATTTGACCTGCACCAAGGTCTGAGAGTTATTAGGACCATATTTGCAGCTTTAATCCTTAGCCTGCCTTGACTGTATATTTCTGTTTCAGATGCAGAGCTGAGTTGAGTATTTACATATTTTGGGGTTTGTTGTTGTTGTTGTTGTTAAGAAGCAGGGCCATTTTCCTGAACTGAAAAATGTGTGTCATGTTAACTTGCACAAAGGAAGTCCGTTCTTGGTGTTGCTCTCTTACACCTGGGTTTTTTGGTTGATGTTTTTGTGTGTGTATATGCGGATTTTTAAAGAGCTTTTCTTCTCACCATTTCACCAGGAAAATCCCAGAAAACTTAATGATATTACAATGATTCTACCCTGGGGAAAGGGAGGCCTTTTAAGGCCAGGACCATGAAGGAAATACTGAGATAGCAACCTCCTTACAGGCTTACAGGAGGGAGTCACTATTAATTAATTTAATTATTAAGGATATCATGATGCCTGGTTTCCCTTTCCACTGGAATCTTCTGTCTCTTGCACGTCCAGAGAAAACTGGCTTTCTAACTTGGGTTTTCCCACACCAAGAGGAGAGGTGCATCAAAATGCCTTTACTGTTTTCTAAACCTGCAAACCCAAAGTCTGGCGGCTGGATGGCCAGGTGAGTTTGCAGTGATATTGGCAATGAAGACAGACAAACAAATTCACCTTCTTCCATCAAGGGCTGAGGCTGCAGGCCTGTGCCTTTGTCTAGAGAGGGGATGATTAGCAGCTCTTGGACTTCTGTAACTTTACCAAGTATTCTACCTCAAAGCGCTACCGAGAAACCATTCTAACTGTAAGTGCCCGTGCTAAGGGTACGTGTCTTAATCAAAGAAGTTTGACTGTTTTTTTGGATGTGGGTTTTTTTTTTCTCTTATTGATATAGTGATGAATGAGATCTTACATATGAAATATATTATTGGATCATGGTTCTTGGAAGTGATTAGTGTGTGTATGTGTGTGTGTTACTTAAATATCTTTGACGTGTGTTTTTTAGAGTTTGTGCTTTAAAGATTTTGAGAGAATATGTAAGTCTCAAGGCACTAGGTTTTTCTGATGTCTTACTAATAACGGGGCATAAATTAAATAAAATATATATGTATGTATTTTATATGTGTGCATGTGAATCTCTCTGCCTGCCTGTAATTTATTTTTAATTTCCAGATTCCAGCTTTAAAGAGGTTCATGGTAAAATAATAATAATAATAATAATGGTAAATCTACCAAATGGATTTTGTAAGACTGAAGATTGGGTATTACAAAGCTCAGGACCTTCTCTAGTGCAGAGGTGCTGAACCTCAGCTGTACATTCAATTCTCCTGGGGAGCTTAAAAAAAATGGAAAGGCCTGGACCTCACATCCAGATTTGAAATTAACTGGTGTGGGCGCAGCCTTGCTATTGGAAACATTTGGAAGCTCCCTGGGTGATTGTAGCATACAAGAAGGTTCCAGAGCCCCTGCACTAGTAGAATGAGCCCACTGTTTTAAGCTTGTGACTTTCTTTTTTAAGATAAAACACACAACTGTATTTTTTTTATTTCAAGAGTCCCCTAGCACAATGCTAAACAAAACATTCCACTGTGGTCTTTCTATGTGGGAATGGGTATGGGACTTGAACTCAGGACCTCGTGCTGGGATTTTTTTTCCACTCAGATCTAGTGCTCGACTACTTCTTGAGCCATACCTCTAAAGTATTTCCAACTTTTTGGAGGATACCCATGAGCCACCAGTGCCCAGCTCAATAGTCCATCTGTCTGTCTCTCTGTCTCTCTTTCTGTACCACTCCTGAGCCTGTACCCCTCAGGGCCTGAGCTCTGTCCCTGAACTCTTTTGCTCAAGGCTAGGGCTCTACTACTTGAGCCACAGCTCCACTTCCTGATTTTTGGTGCTTAATTGGAGATAAGAGTCTCATGGAGCCTGGCACCTGTGCTTTACACCTGTAATCCTAGCTATCCAGGAGGTTGAGATCTGAGGATTGCAGTTCAAAGCCAGCTCAAGCAGAAAGTCCCCCAGAGTCTCTTATTTTCAATTAACAACAACAACAACACAATGGAAATGGCTCAAGTGGTAGAGCACTAGCTTTGAGCACTAGGTCCTGAGTTCAAGCCTCACAACACACACACACACACACACACACACACACACACACACACACATCAGGATCTAGTCATCAGTTCTCTTTCTCTGAGAAAGGTGATTTGTAAGTTGATAAGCATTTTCCTCCAGGTGAAGTACTTGACTCTGCTCCAAGAAATGTGGCTGCCCACAGATCAGTCATCTGGTGGTGGGAAACACAGGCTCCCCCAGGTGCCCATAGACAGATGTTTTACCTCCTTGCTGGGAGGGTCAGCTAGTGGGGTCCCTGTGAACCAGCATGCCAGGGATTATCTTCAGAGACTGGGAGAAAACACTTAGGAGACAGAAAGCAGGCATTTGGCACAGGAAAGATTACTCAAAGTAGCAAAGATTACTCAAAGTAGCAACTCAGCTGATGGTTGGCCCTCGGGTAGGCAGGGGCCTAGGACTCCTGTAACGTCCTCAGTCATTGCTTGGTCTCCTGCATTAAGCTGGTTCTTGGATACTTTGGCTTTGAGGAAGGCTGGGCAAATGAGGCGATGGACGGAGGCTTGAGTGCTTCTGAGAACTAGGTTTCATTCCTTAATGGATGAAGTAATGTTTGGAGGAGTCAGCGGAAAGGCGGCTCAATAGGAAAAGAATGCACTTAGTTAATGCAGTTGCTTTCTCTACAGTGTACTTTCTGGTAGGTTGGTACATTGATTCTATTAAGAATGCCTGATGATTTTCTGTTGTGTGGGCCTGGATTTATTATCCTCCAGATGTTTTTCTTTTTTTGAAATGGGGCCTAGATTGGTCTTGAACTTGGGATTTTTTCCCCCCTTAGCTCTGAAGTGCTGGGATTATTGATGGGCGCCATCATACAATTTCCTCTGATTTGTGTTTTCTTGTGCCCTGTGAGTTTACATGTGTCTGTTACATATCCTATTTAAAGAATAAATAATATTATCAAAAAGAATACTCCTGCTTCCGTGAATAGGTCAGAGAAAAACCCACTCTCCATTCCAGGCTATCGTCCCGTATCCTCAGCCAGAAGAGACAGCGTCCAACTGGGTGATGGCCAGTCATCAGAGCCATGCAAATGTAGACTGCTGGCAGAGGAGACGGTTTGAGGAGGGGTTTGCTCGTGACTACATAGAAGCAACTCAACTCCCACCCCACCCCCCGTCTACAGGTCTCTATGAATCTTTGCTGTCTTAACGAAAGAAAGTGATGCGTGGGTATGTACCAGCTCGAGAAGCTTCTGCCTCCCATAGACCCCTCCCTGCCCTTGCTCTTGGGAAACACTCTGGAAGAAGCCAGCAGAGGGGGCTGGTCATGCAGAAGACAAGATTGAGCTATCTGCAACTCAATCCTGGCTTGATCAATGACTGGACACGGGATTGGGGGAAAATGACTGCATTTTCCAGGACCTTTTTCTTTGCCCTTTTAAGATGGAGTTTTCCTTACTGAACTGTAAGCTTTATCCCGCTGCCTTGTTTTCTCTCTGCATCTTAAGAGCTGTCCAAGGTCTAGGACAGGTGGAGCTCAGTGGATGATAAATGTCTCCTAGAGCTTGCTGGGGATTTAACAGAACACTGTATGTTCAGTGTTCAGCAGGGCAGCTGGCCCTTGAACAGGCAACAAGTATTTCACCTTGGTAGGAAATTGTGGCGTTAACTTTGCTTTCCTTTAAGTTTCTATTTGCTTATTTTTGGTTTTCTGGAGTAGGGCTTTGCTACATAGCCCAGATTGGCTTGGAACTCACTTTTTCCTACCTGCTGGGATTAGAGTTACATGCATAAAGCATAGACTTATTGCTTAGGGACAGTGCCCAGGCCCAGAGTTCAAGACCCAACACTGGCCAAAAAAAAAAAAAAAAAAAAAAATCATTTCCCTGCTTCTGTATCAAGCCTTCTAGAGGACATCTCTGATGAAACATAATCCAGTCTCATACCCAGGTGACAGTTTGCCTGTCAAGTCATTTACGGACCTACGTCCTAGATGGGAAACTCCAAAAGTCCTATGGGTGACAAAACTTGGCTCTGGGGTCTGGATGGACCATTGATTGGATCATGGGACTGAGACCTCCATCTTGGGAGCTGATCCCCTGGGTAGACTCAAAATTCAAGTCATAAATTTTGCACTGATAGGGGAGGACAGTCCCAGTGCTCCCTCAGATGACCCCAATAAGGGGAGCAGAGTGGATTCAAGTCAGATTCGATGGAGACTGGATGTGAGGATGGTAGAATGCCATGGATTCAATGTTCCGTACCAGAACTAAATGACTGTCATACTTGTGTGGCAAAGGGGCTGGATGCTTACATTCCCCCTTGGGATGGACCTCAAAGGCACTTAGTCAGATTAGGAAGACGTCACCTGGGGAAACTCCCCAGCCCTTATCCTGGCTGTTTCCAACAATCATGGATCTAAAACAAACCCTAAAACTGTTCAGCCCCCTTCTCCCCAAGCCAAGCCTACCTCTTGCCTCTGTAGGCAGGGGGAGACAGCTGACACTTCTGGGAAACTTGTCTGGATTGCAGTGAGGGCCGATCCTTTGAGATGAATCGTGAGTACTAACCAGAGCCAGGGGCGATGTCTCAGACGACGGAGCACCCAACTGCAGTGCCACCTGTGCTTTGGTTCAGTGAGCCATCCTTTTTATCGTCCTTCGATATTTCTTCAACCTGCCCTCGTCTCAGAGCAAACAGCCTATCCCAAGTAAGGAAAGACTTCACAGTCATTCCGTTCTCATTTGCATAGATGCTATTCGGGGGTCCCGGGGAGTGCCTAACAGTTTTGAAGCTAGAAACTGAATAGCAGCAAGGTTTTAACCCATTCTACTGCCATGGTCCACCGAAAATGGAAATGCACATTGAAATAATCACATGTGTATCAGCAGAGTTTGTTGTACTCGACAACACCAAGGGAATTGACTAGATAGCCACTGGTTGGATGGCATGAGAAGACTAGCCCCTGATTTATGAGAGCTGAAAAAGGGAGGAGGGGCGTGTGTTGTAATTGGAGGCCAGTGCTGTGCCAATGCTGGCAAACAAGTTAGCTAAAATCTCAAGGATATATGACCCATTTACTAGCTTGGAGGAATGTGGTCTGGAAGGTGGAAAAGCATCATGGTGCATATATATTTATTTACCTGATAATTGTTTTTTGAGTCATGAATGTGGCCGGTCGCTACGTTCCTTGTATACTACTGAATGGGAGAGTCAACAGATTTGAAGAAAAGAATGTAAAATAAGAAGGGATTGTAGTTGTTGAAGTCTTTCCTGTCAAATTAGTTGCTGGACATAAAGCATGGACATTTTAAGGGTTGTGGCCATTTTATAAGCAGCTATTTTAGTGAAGACATAGTCTGTTAGGAGACTTGTCTTTCTAGGGGGTGGGACTTGGCTCAAGAGGTAGAGCACGGGATGAGTAAAAATTCTTACAAGTTCCTGTTGTAGACTGGTATCCTGGTTTAGATTAATTGCCTGAACAAAGTTTTAGCCCTTTTCAAATTAACCAATCATGCAAAACTGTGATCCAAAGTTCTGGCCAATGAGAATGGAGGGAAGTAATGAATTAGGGTAAAACTTGGATGGGCTGCATGAGCAGCACACAGGGCAGGGCGGGGTGGGGCAGGGCAGGGCAGGGCAGGGCAGGGCAGGGATTCTGAGGGGAATAAAGGCTCATGGTAAAACATGTTCATTGCTTCAAAAGTATATAGTGCCTCTTCAAGTACTGGTGCTGAGAAAACTGGGCGGCCACATGTAGAAAACTAAAAGTGGACCCCAGCCTATCACCATGCACCAACATTAACTCAAAATGGATTAAAGACCTTAACGTCAAAACCTGAATCTCTGAAACTACTGCAGGACAGAGTAGGAGAGACACTTGAACTTATAGGCACAGGCAGGAACTTCCTGAACAGAGTCCCAGGGTCACAACAAGTTGGAGAGAGACTCGACAAATGGGACTACCTTAAAATAAAGTTTCTGCACAGCTAAAGCTATAGCAGCCAAGCTAGAAAGACAGCCAACTTACTGGGAAAAATATTTA